AACTGTCGTTCTTCAGAACCACCTTTTACTAGGCAAACTGGATTAAATAGGAACATTTCATTAAAATAAAAACTTAACACGTGTTTTATAAAGATTAAAAATAATTGCACTCCGTTTTTATATTAATCCTGGGAAGCATGTTTTTAATTGCATTAAAAGATGAAAAATTATATAATATTCAACTAGACCTTTCATTCTTTTAAGAAGGATAGATTTAGCTTTTAATGTGAATTACGTGATAAGTGAGTACGATTTTTTTTTTAAATTATTCATTAAATCATAAATAAGTTTTTAAATCTGATAGAATCTGGGTCTATGCTCTTCTAGCACTAAATTTAAAATTTTCAAAATTGTAGGAAAAAGTATCTCAATTTCAATTTCTTAGTCAGTACCATATTAACTATTGTTCAGAAAAGAAGCTAAGCCTGCTAGAAGCGGCAACAATTAAGGTGAAGTGAATGTTATGTAAGTAGGAATAGTAAGCGAGTGGATATTTATTTGAATATTTTTGTTTTTGTTCTTTTTAGGGTTATGTATTTTTTGCACGCCTGCGCCGTTTAATCAAATAAAACACATTTCAATTTCTTGGTTTTGTGTCAGGGAAATGATTAATAATTAAAATTCGGCTGCATTCAATAAGAAAGTGTTTAGAATTTTAAACGTGAATATTGTTCAAAGCACTTTTTAAGAGGCAACAGGAATGGCCTGAACGGCCAGTGTGGTGACACACTTGTTCATCATACCATATTTTCCCCGTTTCGCTACAACATTTTATTGTACTAAATACATGAAATATAAAAGCTCGTGCTAACGCATATGAGTTTCCAGCTACAGGTCAGTTTCACTGCGCAGCGATAAACCTGTAACACAAATCAGTCGTGCTGGCGATCGTTTTTCAATAAGCAGATAACGCGAACGCTCAGCAAAAAAAAAACCGCCTTCCCACTCTATTTCTCTTTGACAAAAAAGCTAAAAAAAAAAGCCGACACGTTAGCTGAAAAGCGACTGTCCCGATATAATCTGTAATCAATGAAATATTTGATTGGCAAATGTGTCAAACAAGTTTAAATAGTGACGTGCATTGGGTTTTGCGGGCGGATATGAATTTATAAATTTACAAGCTGATTTTGATAAAACGCGGTGGAGTGGAATGTGGTGCAGAAATAATTGCTTCCATATAATTGAACGCTCTAATGCAGAATTTTTGCCACGTGATTAGTGAGATGTGTTCAATAACGCTGACTGAGTTCAGTTTTCAAATCAGACATAACTCATATTATATTATTTTATAATTAATTGCAGGTTGCAGAGGTGAAATAAATTCAGTGTTAATTTAAAGTGCAAACCTGCCCATATGATTGCATGTACTGCTGATGCTGCTGATTGAAATATTCAGGTTATAGAAAAATAATTCTTTATTTAAATTAAATGTATTAATTCCAATTTTGATGTGGCCAAATCCTTCTGTAGACAAATTAACGGTTACAATGAAGAGATTAAATAATATATTTGAAACCTTTTGAAATTTTGGGTAATTTTCTTAAAAAGCAAATAAACGATATTGTTTTCTTTTTCGTTTCAACCACTTTATAATTTTTAATGTAAAATCCAAATCAAAATTTGTTTTGACTATTCTGACTCCAAAAAGGCAAAAACTAAAATTTTTAGCTAATATCTACCCACATAAGTAAAAATTGTGTGTTTACATTTTAGCTGGAACTTGGTGTTTAGAATTTTTTTATTGAACAACTGAATTGGTTTCCGCAGCAAATATTTTATTCGTGCGACTTTTATTTGCGTTTCTGGGCAAATAACCCAGTTTCCATTAAATTTCATGCCTGGCTGGACAAAAATGAGCTTCTCCCTCACATTTCCTCTCCGGTTTCCCTTTGACAAAAAATATATTCAGTCGAAGTCTCTTATTTGTATTCGAGCAGCCGGACAAATAATCCTGTTTGGGGAAAAAAGAAATACATGCGCGAATTCAATAAATAGGCCAGAGGGATACTTTGTGCCGTGCAATAAAGTAGGCTGAGCCGAAATTGATTTCCCGAGCATGAAAAGTCGTGGGCTTATTGGAGGGAATATGGCAGGAATCGAGGCGAAAATTTGACGCTGGCTGGAGGGAAAAAGCGTTCGCGTCGAGGCACGCAGTCAATACGAATGGAGGTCTCCAGAGTGTGACCGGCGGACAATTCTGTAGGGACATTCAGTTTAAACACCCTGGCAATATATTGTAACTTCTGCGCCACTCGTCGACAATGGGCCCAGATATCGGCGCGAATTCAATTGGATTACATTTTTTTTCTTGATTGGAAAATTTCCGCTTGTGAAAGGAGCTCGAATGTTGGCCCGAACATTTCTGGTTTGCCTCATTCTTCTCTTGCTTGATCAGATAACACATTTTTCGTTGAAAAGAGATACACGGCGACAGCTTTTATTGCCTCGAAAGCTGAGCTGCAAAATATGAGTTAAAAAATAAAAATATCAAAATAAAAGTGATCCTGGCGCACATAGGAAAAAGTAAACTTGCAAATCCTTTACAGCGGAAGCTCGTGACGCCGCTGCTGAAAAGCCAACTTTAATCTCTCTCACACTCTTCCTTTGTGTACCTTGGCAGGCCATAGCAGCGGGAAAAACACAGACAAACACATTACATAAATAGCTCCCAGCGGAGCCCTAAGTATAATTTTAAAAACTACACTCTCAACCCGGTTATGCTGGTGTGCGAATAAAAATCGTCTGGGGAATCATTTTGAGCATTTGTCCCGATTCTCCACGTCGCACCGCATTTTACCGCACACTCGGCTGCCTTCGCCGACTGCAAATGCACTCCGGGAAAAGGCCTGATGAAAATGCATTATTTCCATTTGTCTGCGGGTCAGTAAAATGCGACCAGGTCATGCACCAGCCAGTCAGCCATGGTTGCAGGCGTGAGGACTAAAGTTTTGTTACTGAAAAAAAACTTTGCAATTAATTTACTTACTTATTTTTTAAAAAATAAATATGTATATATATATAAATAATTATGAATGGAGCGACAACCAAAAAATTCTGTAAATTAAAGGAAATTTAATACTGTTTTTATTCCCTCTCATTAATTCTTGGTTCAGTGATCTTATAATAAATCCCCAAAAATGCCTTGCCACCAAAATAGGTGCTGAAAAGTTGGATTATTTTTATCTTCCTTCAAGAATGTGAATATCTCATTTATTCACTTATGAATAATTCATGTCCCCAAATTGAAATTCGACGGTCTCATATATTGTACCGATATTTAATAATCTATTCCAAGTTTATCCGAGAATTTTCCAATGCGCCTTGTGAGACAAGAAGTCAAGTTTCAAAGGAGCCATTTGAAATTCAATTGGAGGCCCCGTCAATACAAAAACTGCGGCCATGCACATTCTTTCCGTCTCGGCCAGTGCAAGAGCGAGGCAAAGAGAATGCACTGGAGGCGCGCGCTATCTCGCCCATTCAAAATACCACCTCTGGCTTGAGCTGAATGCTAATGCTGCACGCGACTCCGTTATCAAAGTCAAAAGGCCGAGCCGAGCCGCCCTGTCCGTCCTCTTTAAAACACACGTCGCTCTTTTGCAGTCTCCGACCGTCTTTTTTGCTGCTGATCCAATTACCCCTGAGCTGTGTTAGTGTGACCATTAAGAAGTCCGGCCCATCTAATGGGACTTGGCCGTGTAATGTGCAAACACACACGGTCCACTCACTGTATATACGGCCTTCCCCCTTCTAATGGCGAGTGGGAGATGCGCAATGCATTTTTCACGAATCCGATCGAAATTAGCTCGGCTGCTGCATCGCCAATATATCCGTTCGCTTGTTTGTTTGTTCGTCTCTTTGCTCTTTTGATGTGTTTCGGGAGTGCTGATGTAATTGCCGCCAGTTGTTTGACTGGTCTTGCGAATTAGGGAGAGAGACCGACCCGCAGCAAATGAGACAAACTATCGCTCGAGCGGAGAAAATAATTTGCTTAAAAGTTTGTCTGGCTGCCGCCTCGGTGCCATTGGAAAAGAGATACTTGGATCTTCTCCTTGCTCCGCTGCTTGGCTTTTAGTTTTGCAGTACCGAGGCCAAAGAGATAGGGGTGGGATTCCTGTTTAATTAGTTGGTGATCGGGGTTGCAAACTGAGCAAGCAGGAGAATTGTGCAGAAGTCCGTCAAGTTCCGGCGGTAACTTCAAAGCCAACAAGATTTTGTGGCCACAACTTCACGTCAGCATATTATTTGACATGTATTAAATTGTTTTTATTGATTTTTTTTCAATTTAGAATTTTGTACCATTGTGAAAAAATATTATTCAAATATAATGCTCACAAATTTTAAGCAATAACATATTAAATTTTGTGGTAGAAGTTCACGATCGAGGTTTGATCCATGGTGATTTGAATTTAAATTTGGCTTTTCCTCGATGGATTTTTTTTAAGAAAAAACAATATCCTGCTCTACATGCTTCGGCTGCGGGCTGCAGCCATAATTCATGAGTTGTGAAATCATTTTCACATGAAGTAGTAAAAAAATCTACCTCTTTTTCAAAATATTATTTTTTATTTAGTATAAATTTTCCGTGAAAAATGATTTCATTTTACAATTTTTAACACAAAATTTTACATTGGATTTAAAAAATACTTTTTTAAAAACAAATTAATTTTTATAATAATTTTGATCGAAAGCCGAAACATGTATAGCAGGACATTGTTTTTACTTAAACAATAAAAAACTCACAAAAATCCATCAAGCAAAAAGCCGACATATTAAATTTAAATGTTTATAAAAAATTAATTAAAGTCTCAGATTTTTATATATTTTACTAGTTGATCGTCTGGCTTACAATTAGCACGAAACTGAAAAATAAATAAAAGGAGCAAAAATTTAAAAATACAATCAATAAAATACATTTCTCTCATTACGATTTATGGTCTCAAAATTGTCAAACTGATGCTCAAACACAACTAATCCTCCAAATCCACCTTTTCGTGTTCCAGTTTTGACGTCCGTGGTCGCCCGTTCAACAAGGCTGCTCTGTGGTCGGACAAAAATGTTTTTGGCAACCGGGCGTACTTTGCCACTGTCACTAAGCCAGCACATCTGACGCTCACAAAAGTGCAGCTGGACGACGAAGGAGCTTACAGATGTCGAGTCGACTTCAAAAATTCACCCACCAGAAATTTCCAGATCAATCTCACAGTGATAGGTAAGTCGTGCGCTCGCCTGGCGCTCGCCTGGTCTTTTCAGACTTTTTCGCCGAATGGAAAAGTTTCGCTGGCGTCGTTTTATTAAGCCTTAGTAGGCCGTAAAGTTAATTTAAGGAATTACCAGCGGCAGTGTGTAGCGTGTCGTCAAGTCAGGGGGGCTGTACACAAAACTGGAAAAGCAGCAACTTTTGCTTTGCACGCGCTTTTCATGATATTTTGCAGGCTGCGATATTGAATGAGCCGCGTTAGGGTGGAGTTGCTGCGCCTCTGGTTCAAATAAAATTTATGCGAAATTCGCAGCAGCGCGCTCCGGGAGGAAATAAAAGGGGCCTTCATTGTTTGAAGTAGAATTTGATTTCTGCGATGTTACACATGAGCAGGTTTAACTGCGCCGGCACTTGATAAACAAAAATCTCTTCCTGCCTTCCACTTTTATTATACGGCCCCGGCGTTGATTTTTATGTGCCCTTCCACGTTCTGCCGAGAACGAGTCAGGTATAGCCTTCATCGCGAGCAGCGCACGTTTCCTCAACCAGTGTACACAAACTTTTAATGACTTTGCTCTTTTATGGCATTCTTTAATTAATTCTCGCATTCAAGGAGCTGCAAAGGGATAAAATAAACAAAACAGAAGAGCTACTGAGAGTGAGCAGCGCAGTGTCTTCAATTTTAAATTTCCACCCTTCTCTTTTTTTCTTTTTAATCGAACTTCCACGGTCTCTTTCTTGGTAGAAGTGTGACGACAGTGATTTGGTAAAACGATTTGCTCAATTCCAATCAAAAGTCGTAAAGTAACTTGAATAATAACAAAGTGAATATTCTCCTCCTTTTCAAATAAAATAAAATTACCCGAGCAACTTGACGTGCGCTGTTCACGAGTTTAAAAACTTACAAACTGCGAATCTCGACAAACTTTGCAATGTAAATTGTTTTATGTTCCAGTTCCTCCAGAAGAGCTTACGATTTACGACGAAAAAAGGAACGAGGTGTCTGGAGTCATTGGGCCGCTCATGGAGGGTAGCGACCTGCAGTTGGCCTGCGAGGTCAAAGGAGGTAACTGCTTTCTAAATAACACTTATCTCGGACCATAAAACTCTACTACCTGTCGCAAATAAAACCGGGAAACACACGTTTTATCTTGATGCGCAAACAAGAAAACGCCAGAAAAATTGACAGCCGCTTTTCCATTCGAAAATGATCGTAACCGAAGGAAGGGTCTTCGATTCAATTAAGCTGCACGAGCAAGTGATGCATATAAATTGGCAATAAATTTGATGGCTCCAATTTCCAATCTAACTTTGCATTTCTCACTCTTATCTCGGAAGAGAGGGGGATTGCGGCGAGAGAAAGATGAGACTCGAATTGTCCTTGACGCGCCAATCTTGGCGACGCTCATTCCATTTGATACCTCTCTGCTCAAAATGGATTTAATCCCTCACTTTCTGGAGCGACAAATTGTTTTCTTTCCATTCATCTGACGGAACTAAATAAATAAATGGATTGAATGCCCCCCGTCGGCGAGAGCCAGCGATACTTGTACCTGCGGTAACTTTTCTCCGGCTCTAATAAATGTTTATTTTTCATTATTATTGCCCAGCGCTTCTCAACGGTCTCATTTTTCAGCCCAAATCCTCTTATTCCGCTCTCCTCCGTTCTGCTCTTTTATTTTCCCTTATCTTCAATTTATTTTTTCCATTTTTGCGTCGACAAAGACCGCTTGCCACCATTCTCACCTTCGCCAATCCCGATTATCGATCAGACGCGAAAGCAAGATTACTTCGACGTGCGGTCTGATTGCTGCGGCCCCCTAACGTTGTGACGTTTTTCACAGCAGCCAATACGTCTTAAACTTGTTTCCTTCCTTCCCTCCATATGTCACAAATAATCTCGGAATTCATTTATTGCTTGGCTTTGGTTTGGCTTATAAATACCAATTATCGCGAAAGTTTTTTTAAATTAACAATTTGCAGCTTTTTTCCTTATTCATAAATGGCATGATCACATAAAAAAGATCAAATTTAAATGCAGCAGCCACAGAGTTGAATTTCAATTTTTCGCCATCGCGGCCGTGGATGGCGTTTAATTTATTTTAATGCCGACTGACAGCGCTTTAATAAAAAAGCGACGGGGCTGTGAGAGAACAATGGCCGGGGAAATTTTTTATACGTTTGGCGCGATACACGTACAGCCAAACACGCGGTAGGGCGGCGCAGCAGTCATGAATAAATCATCAGAGTACGCAAAATTAAAACTGTTTCGCCTTCGAAGGAAAACCGGTGCCAACCGTATCGTGGTTCGTCAACGACAAGCTGCAGGAAGGCGTCGTTCCGCTTGAGGAGGAGCAGATTTCGCCCGGGGTGATCATCAACAAGCTGTACATCAGGGACGTCCGACGCCACCAGCTGCACAACACTTTCAAGTGCCAGGCGTCAAACACGAAAATGAACCAGCCAAAGGAACGCACCATCCGCTTGGATCTTTTCCGTGAGTGGAGCAAATTTAATTTCACGTCGAGAGCTAAATTTAGTTGCGAAAGCCGCTGTCCATTACCATTACATTACAGGGTAGCCACCAGCTTTTTGGTGGTTTCGGGATCATGCATATCATTAAATTTTGGACCATCATGCGTGCACTTTTCTTCATTTATGGTAATACCTGTGCGTGGTCGTTGCAGTGAAACCGCTCTCGGTGCGGCTATTGGAAAAGCCACGCACCCTGCAGGCCGGAAAACCACACAGTGTGGTGTGTGAGGCCAAAGGGTCACGGCCCAAAGCCGACATCTCGTGGTTCAAGGACTCCCGGAAGATTCCCGGTGGCCTGGTAAGTAAAACTTCACCCTTCATCTTTGTAATTCATTATTTTTTCTGGAAACTTATCCTGTTAGTGAGAGTTAGAATTTTGCACAGATTTAGCATTTATGTTAAAATATTTAGACCAATTACATTTTTATTTTTCGTTTCTTTAATTCTTTTTTCAATAGTATAATAACTGTTTATTTGAATAAAATTTAATTGTATTAATTTTTCTTCAACTCCAAATAAATAAATCAAATATATAAAAGACTTTTTTTGGGGGGGGGGGGCGAACTTAATAATATAATGTTATTAGATTTAGCCTTTGCTTTGATGATTAATCTTAATCAACATTTTAATATTTTTATATTTTAAATCTATTAATATTTTTTTTATTAAAAAAACTATGAAATTTAACAAATAAAATCATTAAAAATAAATGTATGTCTACAAAATTCTAAAAAATTTACACTTGATATCAAATTTTTTTTTAATTAATTTTGCGTTTTTCTAGGAGGAGGGCAACGACACAATAACGCAAAACATACTGGAGTTCATTCCGCAGCCAGAAGATCACGGCAGGCATTTTAAATGCTACGCAGAAAACCCGAAGATCCCAGGTTCGGGATTGGAAGACAACTGGTTGCTGAATGTAGTTTGTAAGTACATCATTTTCCGTATTTATCGTGCAGAAAATCTTATCCAATGAAAAAAGTGAAAGTACAATAGACTATAGGAGTGCTGCTACTCCCACAATCAGTCAAGAGCTTTGTGAGCGGCGCAACCGTCGGAGCGAGCACTTACAAAGGGCAAATATTTTCAAGCAAATTGCGCCCATTGAAGAAATTCATTGGGAGTGAGCGAAATCAATTCTATCAGTGTGCAAATAAATTGCGCGTTCACTTGGCCGTGAAGTTTTGCCTTCTGGTCGTGGAACGGCCCGAGGATCAAGTGGGCAGCGCCACTTGTGTCGTTGTGCTGAATTGGCAGTCCGTCCATACATTCGGCGGTGGAAATAGCTTCCATTATTTGCAAATGCCTCCCTCTCAAGAGCTAATTGCGCCGCCGGTCGGTCGAGTCAAGACGAGTCCCGAACGTCCAAACTCTCAGGGCAACATTAACAATTCCAAGTGGCTCCACAAATTCAACTGTTTAATTTGCCTTGCACTCGGCGCGCGAAATTAAATTGAAGCGTGGGAACTGCAGCATCATCTGCAGCTCGGCGAAACTTTGTGCTCGGAGAGTGATGTGTCTGCAACCGCAGTGGCGTGCCATGCCTCTTGAATTAGTATCAAATTATAAAAGTTGGCCAGCGCTGGTGAATTATAAATCGAGCCCCAACCCAATTTCACAGCCATGTATTGTACGTGTATGTACTTTGCGCAAAGTGCCGTTGAGCGCCGGGCAGCTTTTTGCCGCCCGCGATGCACCAACGCTTGTTCTTTATTTCTCTTTGCTCCCTTTCTTCGCCGGCGCCTGTGAGAATTGCGAAAGCGGCCGCCACAGCGGGATAATTAAAAGCATCAATCATGTAGGATGTGCGCGCATTTTCGCAGCTCTTTTGATTGATTAAGCCTTCGCCAAGGCTCCGTGTTGCGATTGTCCACTGCTCACAAATGACTCCAAGCCCATTGTATTTGTTAGACTCGGGAAAAGTCGGGAAAACTCATTCAGTTTGTTTTTACAGCTATTTCTATTTTTTTCATTCTTTTTCAGTAACTCTTGCTGTAACACAAAGCAAAACGCCAAATTCAATGCATGAAGATATGAAGAACAGACTCCACGCAATTTAAAATTAATTCATTCCAATCAAAATTGGAAACATTTATATTTTACTGCAATACATAATACTTTAATCAATGATTGTTAATAAAATGACACTTCTTACTGCTTTTTTCCTTTTATTGTTTATAAAAAAATTTAATATAATGTTTCAATGAAACAGCAATTTTTTGCAAATATTTTATTAAATTAATCAAGCAAAATATGATCAAAAAATATCTTTGAAAATCCGAAGAGTTAAAAATTTAATCAGAATAACAAAGTACTAATTTCACAGAGCTGGCATATTAAAAATTTAAATAAATCAAAAGGTTATCCGATTTTAAATTTTTAAATAACCTTTGACAAAAATAAAATAATTATTGTATTAGATATTATCTCTTATCTCTATTTTGCGAGTTCTTTCTTTAAATAAAAAGATTTTAGTCATCACAACTTTTGTTCTTTTGTGTGGAACTGTTCTTGAATTTCGAGCCAACCAGGAAATGACATTTTCGATGAAATAGCATGATTTTTTCCCAAGAAGACTTGTGATCCTCGGTCTAAATATAGCTGTTTGCTTTCAGTCGCTCCTCAAGTGAGTCTGCAGCTGGGAAATACGCTCAACCCTGACGACATCAAAGAGGGCGACGACGTCTACTTCGAATGCCACATCAGAGCCAACCCTCGGGAGCATAAGATCACCTGGATGCATAATGTGAGTGCATAAAATTTCCATCGAATCAAAACCTGACCCGATGAAATCTGCCTCTGCGCGCTTTACGACCGATATTCACAGCGCGGAGAAAATTAAAATTTCCAAGCCATAAACACACATACACAGACCAGGCCTCGCGAGTCGTTTCTTTTTCGAGAGAAGTGCAATTATTAAATTACATTCCAGCCAAGGAATGGCATATTATTACTATAATTGCACCGCCATCGTGTGTAAATTACAACTTCAATTACACAGCTTGTGCGCAATTGTGCCCCGCAGTGGAAACTCCGTAATATTTTTCGCTGCTCTGGTCGGCGCCATAAAATTGAGCAATAAAACACCACCACTTAATTCGCGGCCAGTAACAAAAGCACGTCTTTTTTTCCATTTTTTCTTTGCACTCTTCAAAAATTCCGTCCGTGGCAAGAGCAAACAAGTTGCGTTTTTTTTTTATTATATTTTCCTTCACAAAGTATGTACCGCGCAGCACATGTATAAAACAGCAGCAACTTCCCGCAACTCACACACGACCTGCTTTTATTATTTTTCAGTTGAAAACTTTCGCAACTTTTGCACGTGAGTTGGCTCGCGGGAATTTATTTGCCCTCGCACCCATCAAGGTATGGGCGCCGCACAAAACAGGCGCGCGCAAGCGAGAATTTTCGACTAATTGTGACGAGGCGAGCGCAAAGTTTCAATTGCCATCGTGCTGTCGCAAAACTCTCTGCAGCCTCCATCTCAAATTAATTTCCGTGTGCACGGCAAAAAATGGTCTGGACTTTGTGTGGCAGGTTTGCGTCTGTTATTTTCCAAATTGAAAATCACAGCATTATTTTTACTTTTTATATATTATTTTTCTGCTTCCAAATAAAATGAAATAATGCTATTGGAATTTAATAAATACCCCTGTTGGCTCCTTTTCAATTTACGAGGAAATATAAATTGTGTAAAATATTTTCCATGGACACTAAAATAAGCCATATTTATAGACGGTTTTTTGCTGTGAAAGAGAGAAATTCCTGAAATAGTCTATCGCGTTCTTTCCTGTAGCAACTTCCTGGTACAGTGAGCATTTCTTGAAGAGAGAACTATTTTTTTCTGAAAATTTAAATTATAGTCTCCAGTTTTATTTCAAAAGGTGCCATGATCCTACCGCAAAGAGGATTTCATTCACATTAAGCGCCTTCCAAAGGGAAAATTGGGGGATATTTCTACTTCATTTCTAAAACAATTTGAAGTAAGATTTGTTTTTTTGTTTGTAAAAATGAGATTTGAAATTCCAGAAAATTCAATTTTAATGCTTATTTTCTATTCAAAGTATTCTACAATACATAAAGTGAACATGATTGATTAAAATAACATGTTACAAGAAAAATGGAAAAATCAATTATTAAAACATTATCTTTAATAAAAAATTCCATTTTAGACATAAAATTATGGTTTCTAACAAGTTTAAAGCGATCATTTCATTATTTGGATGTTGTTTAAAAAATGTAGCAGTTTAATAAAAATAAAGTTTATTTTTATTTATACTTAAATAATTTACATTTATAAATTTTAAATTGATAATTTTTGTAATTTATTTTTATAATTTTTGTAGTGATTTGGTTTAAAAAAATTGCATATTTGAGTTTGTATATTTTGTATTTTGTATATTAAATCTTACTTCTATTGCTTAATATATAGCTAAATTAAAAAAAAAATCCTCCTAGATTCGCTGTCTTCTAAGAGTGCAAGGGTTTTTCAATATAATTAAATTTATACCAACGAAATTCATGCATTACAAATTTCAAACGATAATTATACATCTCATGAAGAAATATTTAAAAAAAAAAAAGATGACCAAAATCCTTTAAAATGAGAAAAGCCAATATGAATAACCGATTATGAGACTTTTCCTCTAAAAGATTGAAATCACGAAGGGAGGCTCTTCCTCCACGTTTTATTATTTTTAATGAAGTGCGCTGCGGCTTTGGAAAAATGAATTACCGCCTGCACAATCCCCTCGGCAATGTGCAACACACGAGCTAATTCTGCTCCGCCTTCTACTTTCCACTTCGCAGGACACTCATAAATACACATGGCCGAGCATGGAAATCTTCGCAACCAAATTTATAGACGCGCACATCTAATAATAATAAGTTAGCCGGGATTAATTTGAATGCCGGCACTCCAGCGACGGCTGCAGATTTTGCGGCGGCGGCGGTGCCAACGCTGGCCTGGCTGCACAGATCTAAAATATTCGCCTCCGGGGACACGTTCTCCAGCGCCCGCCATCAAATTACTGCGGTTTCGGGTCCGTTTTTCCGCCGCTCTCTTTTTAAAAAGAAATATGTGACCGGCGGCATTACACATACACGAGAATGGCCCGCCGCCTGTTTACTCCTCGTTTTACTGCCACATAAGAATGCCCGAATGTATTGCAGTGACACAGCATAAAAAGCGTCCGCCTCGAAAACATAAATTTAATTTTAAAGAGCACTCTTCGCTAGTGTTGGTCGGACGCAACTCGCATACCCTGCCCACTCGCCTGCCACCCAACAGGCCCAAAGGCTTTTCTATTTTCTCTTTTCGCTCGAAAACAAGCAACAGAAAGCCTCGCCCGTCGCTTTATTATTTGACACTTGCCCCAAATGAAACTGCAAACTCACAGCTTGTTGCTCGGCTGCTTAATTAAACCAGAGGACAATGTGATGAATTGCTGATTGCAGATTGTAAATTTTTGTTTGCGCTGTAAGGACAGTTACTTTGTTTTATTGGATGTTTAATTTATTTTACTAGATTTTTACAGATTTATCTTTATGTGATGAGTAATTTTCATAGATTTAAACCGTTGCCACTTGTTTTGAAAGAAATAATTAGAAACCCCGTTATTTGACTTATAAATCAATACATGTACTTGATCAAATATTTTTTATCACTTTATATCATTTGTTTCACAAAATTGTTTAGTATTATTTATCATTTATTTTAATTTAATGTTTAAATATTTGCATAAAATAATGACGGACACCCACATGCGTGTTATGCAGTTACCGATCAGTTTTGTTGAATGCCTTCTCTAAATGATGGAATTGTAAATTGTATTTATTAAATGGTAATACTCAAGGTGTATTTAAATTATCATTAGATTAAAAAAATTTTTAAAAAAACCGTAAGATATAAATAATTCAAATTATAATCAATATATTTATAAAATTTATCAAATTTAAATAGTAATATAAAGTAGTAAATTTAAGTTATATAAAATAAAATTCAACAATTAATATATAATTTTTTTAATTTTACAAAGTACACTTATACTAATTTTCACTTTTGATGTATTGATATATTTATTTCAAAGCTTAAAATCTTATTCAATCCATTTATTATTATACCAAAGAAAAGAAATTAAGTTTAAAAATGTCTTATCTCCTTGAAACTCTTCATGCATCTTCTTCGCGCTGACTAAGGGTATTGAATTGTCTTCCCCTTAAAGTTCACAATGCAAAAAAATTGACTGACACAACTGTTTACCTCTTATAAATTGCTCAATTTTCCTTTGAAATTCATGAATAAAAAAGCATCGTTTTATTTTTTTGTAATGTGACTCCTTTTAAAGAACAATTATTTTTTATTTAATTTGATGGTGAAAATTTTATGTTTATTTTCACTTGAAACCACTTATCACTGGTAAAACCCATTATTTCGATTTGTGATTTGCTAAAACGAATCACCCGCGTTTATTTCCAATCGCGAGTGTGTGCTTTAGCCCGAATAAAAAGTCACTAATTCACCATGGTCGTTTAAAATCTGCAGCTAGGGCGAAAGAGTAATGGCGCGATTCTCTCTTCTGTGTAAATTATCAATAATGCAAGTTGGAAATTATGAGAGCGGTGGCACGCTCAATTGGGGCTCAGTTAGGTGGAATAATGAGAGCGAGGTGGCTGCACGCGGGGGTTGCCTACCTCGCTCGCCACCTCAATAAATCAGGCGGCGCCGCATTTTTCAAAGGTCTCGCTGGCAAATTATCCGGCAAACATGACGAATAATTTCATTTCGCTCGGCACCTCGCCAGCCGGTTCAATTAGTGGCAGGTCGAATGCAGCTGCAGACCTTTGATGCAACGCACGCCCCATTTGCAGATTGCTATTTATTTATCGATTCGAGCCGATGGAGAGCAACAACGCAGATCGTGTTTTCGGTCGAGCGGACAAGAATAAGCGCGAATCGAGAGGGCAGCCGACCGTATGTGTGCAGCAACAGAAATTAAATGGATATTTATGCGCGGACGGGAATTTTACAATAAAAGGCTCGCAATTTGAAAAACGTGACTTCAAAAGGTTCACAGTGTGTAATTTCAAACGACCGCATTTATTATTATATCAGAATAATTCTCCCCGAGGGCATCCGAATAATATTGCGAACGAACGAACAGCCACTCGCTCGCTCGCTGCCTGCTTTAGAGCAGGAGATATATGCGAGTGTGCCTCTCTCTGCAAAGCGATTTTTGTAAAACTGGAATGACAGTATCAGAAAATCCCCTGCGTGCGCGCGATAAAAGTTATTATTGTATTTCACTTGGTGTACATGCCGCACATACTTTCTCCTAATCCTAGGGCGATATTTCCATTTCACGTCACATGCAATTGTGGAAAAGCGAGGGCGAAATGTATTCGCTCTCGCTGCTGCCTGCACTTTCCCTTGCTCCTTTCTCTCTTCGCTGCGATGCAAAACTCGAATCGGGAAGACAAATCCCCTCTCCTCGTCTTGGGGAGACAAAGTTTATCACCTCTGTCTAGCTGTTTCCGACGTTTGAGAACAAAAGATGAATAATTTGAATGAATTAAAAAAAAAAAAAAAAAAAATGCTGCTGGAAAAGTGAAAAATCTGAATTTTTAATTTATTCGGGCCTTCATAAATCCTGGTTTAAACTTGAGTAAAAGAGCAACAGCAAAAACCGAAAAAAAAATCAGTTCTTGCCGGTAAACAAGGAAAGTGCTTAAAATGTTTTTAAGATCCCTTTTGTAAAATTAAAACAAAAGAACTCTTGAAATAAATTGTAGGGGATGCAAATTAAAAAAGGCGAAAAATTGAAACAAAAAATGGAGAAAATTGTGATAAAATAATAGAATTCTGAATTTTAAAATGTCTATATATTTCCAGTAAAAACTATTGATTAGCCGTTCAACTTATTTCAATAAAAATTTTATACTGCTGTTGAAAATCTCTAATCTAATTTCAGATCTGTGCAAAAATGAATTGTTTTTTATAATTGAAAATCTAAAACGAATCTACCAAACTAAATTTATTTCAACAGAACGCACTTTCGCTCTCACAAAATCGGCATGCTCAATAATTGGAAATTTTATCGCAAAAATGTTTTCCCCATTCCTTACGACTTACGCAAAAGTTTCGCGAAAACTAAAATAATTCCTCGTCGGCGACGACGACGACGAGAAAACTTTGATTCGGTTGTTCGAGTCCAAAAGTAATAATTGCTTATACGGCTGCAACTCGTTTCCAATAATTGAGACGCCAACTATCGGAAAGCGCCCCCGTCTTAGCAAAGCAGCGAAAATTCCACCAACGCTCATTTTCGGCTGCAAAAATCTGCTCACAGGCCATAATTTTTGCCAGAAAGGTGAAGCGTAATTAAATGGCGCGCCCCGATAAAATCGGCTGCTCGGCAATAAAGAGTGACACACACCGAAAATTAGCGTTGCAAATTATCTGCCGGGGCGGATGACAAAATATCTCATTGATTTTCGATATTTCTTGAGCCACTTTCATTCTGCTCGTCCCTTTTCGCTTTCGTCTTTTGTGTTCATTACACCTCCCTCTGGTATTAAAAGGGGAATTTCTCCTTCGACAAAGCATAAAATTTCATTGAGGATCACATACTGCAGATTTTAATCAGCCGTCTGGGTCTTAATTTCAGGGTGTCATGCTCAGCCAGAACGTGTCCTGGGGCATCATCATGAGCACGCACAGCCTGGTGCTGCAGAAGGTGACTCGACACAACGCGGGCGTTTATCGCTGCGTCGCCATCAACTCGCAGGGGGAAAGCCAGAGCTCACCTGTCCACCTGCGCGTCAAATGTGAGTACCCGCATGAATTTTAAGATTAAAATTTGTTTCGTCAACATTCTGCAGTTACTAAAGGAAAGATTATAGAATGATTTAATTAATAATTAAGTACATCAAAGTACATAATATCTAAATGTTACATTATTTATTTTAAACATATTAATAAAGCTAAGTAACTTACTTATATATTATTAATAATTTTATTTTTTTATTTAATTTAGTTTTTTATATTTTGTACCTAAATAGACTTTTAAATTCATTTTTAATCAATTTATGCTTAAAGCCAGATAAGCCATATTTAATAGAAAATTACGTTTTTCTTTGTTACAGTTACTTTAACTTAAATAAAATATATTATAATGGTTGGAATTAACTTAAGATATCATTTTATTTGATAACTTAAATTTTTTTAGACTTTTCACATGTGAATTGAAATTGATATATGAATTTATAAAAAAGTAGATAAATTTATTTTGAAAATGCCCTAAAGAGTGTATCTTTTTTTAATTAGAATTTCAGGGGTGTTCCTTTCTGTTTAGGTTGTTAAGTGCATATAACTCTCAGAAAATACAAAAATGAATTGATAAAAAAAGACTGATGGAAAAAAACTAATTAACTGATTGTATCCCATTTCCTAGTTTTTTTCTTTATTCACATATAATTCTAAAAATATTTAAAATTTTCTTCTCTTATCATTAAAAAAAAATCATTGAATAAAAAACCGTTGTGATTAGTTGTCTAGACACATGTTTTGTAAATTTATGTTTCCGATGCTTACGAAAGTCCTTGTTCCTGGCGATAATGATTCTCTTTAGCGCGAGTGGATATTTAATAAGTCTCTGAAGGGCAATTTCAATGGAGACATTACCTCGACGGGTGTGATATGAAAAATGGTCTGCGCGAGGCCACGCGAGATGAAGTTTGAAAAAGATAGATTGACTCTCATTTTTTCGCATTAGACGCGCCCAGGCAAAAAGTTGAGAGCGGAGCAGCGCCGCTTATCTCCTTTGCTCTGGAAAATAATTTCCCTCCCACCTGCCTGCACAAACACACTGAGCCACCCTCTTTTGTATTACAAGCAGCAAAAGTTGACAAAAGCGCGCGTTTTATTTTAAATACGGGGCGAGAGATTGTTATCGATGTGCTTACCTTGTTAGCCGGGCGGGCGGGCCGAGATCTGGATGCGGCGATAAAATTGCAATTTCATCCTGGAAATCCAGCGCGCTTTGTTCGCCGACGCTTTTATTGCGCCAAATTAAATTGATCCAAAATGAAACAACAAGTTCACAGCAAATTCATTTGGTTTGCGAACCGGGGGCTGCAGCGAGGCGAATAAAAATAGATTGAGACCTATAAAAGCAACTGCCGGGCGGAAGAATGCAAATGCAGGGACGTGTGCTCGCGCGTCGGTAATATTGTAACACGCGTCGGCGAACTTTTAATAATGCAAATCTTTCGCTCGACTTTTGAATAAAACATTCCGCGGCGCCAACATTGTGCGTCAATCTGCGCGATTCTGTGCCATTTTAAATTCATCCGCGCGTGTGAGTATACGAGGGTATGTGTGTGCGCCAGTCGGTGGCTGAGTGAGTGGAGTGAGCTTATCCTAATTTCGAAATGACAATGGGTGTGTTCTGCCGCGCACTCACCAAGGCGCGCACAATTTTGTCAGTTTCATGGTCTTTGCATTCGTGGATTCCGCGCTTTGTGGAAAACAATGCACGTCGCCCGCACAATGCCAAAAAGTGAATAAAATTAAACAAAATATGTTTGTATCAAAAATGTAGTCCGTCATTTTTGAACTTCTACGGCCACATTTCGAGACCAGGCAACCTGCTCAACACTCATGTTAAGCAGATTGCATAAATATTTTTTTTCGCATTCCTCTCATTTCAAATTAATAATATATTGTATCTCGACGTTGATGCAGAGAAATATATCAATATGTTAATGCAGAGATAAAATAAATAGATTAATTAAATGCTTTCTTTTCATAATAAAATCAAACTTGAAAATATTTATTATTCAAATTAAAAGTTGCTTAATACGTATTTTTTTAAACTTCTATTAAATGTTTGTTGGAGACTAAATAAATTACATTTAACTCGTTCAATCAAGCTGACAATAAAGATAAACTTCAGGATAGATTTCAAAGACAGACATTGTGGCTCCTTTAACTTAATTTTTTTTTGCAACTCCCATCACACTTTCATAACAATGGCTCTGCAATACAAGACACCAGACACGTACTGGAGTTGATAATTTTATCCCATTCAGCAGAAATTCTAGCCATTAGAAACAGACCTTTCCCGCTGTACCTCTGTTGGCCGAAAGGACCAAAAGATATGCAAGCCCGTCGCGCAAATAGCACCACCCGCGCGCATATCCATTTGTGGGCCGCTGTACACAGCGAATGCACGGCTCGGTGGTCGCCTTTTGTCACTGAATCACCGGTCCACGGCAGCAACATGCAAGCCCTTGAATGTTTTATGGCCGAGGGAACAAAACCTCAGCGCAGTCAGTCGGCTTTAAATTTAAATTCCATTACATTTTTACTGCCCCGGAGATTTCCCGGCTCTCGGCATGTTTGATGTTTTTGTAATAAAACTTTTCGAATGCCAAAAGCGGTTGAATCGATTCCGCTCTCCGTCTGCATTCCACGCCTTCTGCGTCCTCTCCCTCCGAATTTTCTTATTAGAATCTGGCGATAAAACTCATGCAAGACCGCGAATATTGCACGATTTCTACATATCAGTCCAACAGAAAGCAATTTTCCCCAGAAAGTTATTGATGTGCGGTTGAAATCTTCAAGTTCGCATGAAATTAAAGCAATTCTATTTTATTTGCATCTACTCATATAAAGTTCCTCAAAATTTATTTATTTTTGTACCAGTTACTTGACAACTGCCAAAATTTTAAATCTAAAATAAAAAATAAGGAAAGAGAGAGTAGGCAAGATTTTTTTAATAAAAATGCCTCCCATTTTTATTAAAAATGTGAATACTTGTGACCTGGCAAAGTGCCTCACTCAGTCTCAGAATAAACAAAGGAGTCATTTTCAATCAAAACGGCAAAAACGAAAGAAACATTACAGGTTCTTGTGCTGCGAGTAGAAGGGCGAAGCAAAAATGTTATTTCTTTTCCTGTCAGAGCGGAAAGCAAACACGGACTGGGAAAATTATTTAATATCAGTCAGAAGACTGCTGGCGCTCGCTCGCTCTCTCTCAATTTAATATAAAACGTCTCGAAAATTTACTCCTGTTAATCAACCCCCTCGTCTGAAAAATGTCTCCTCCACTCGGCTTGAGCGCAATAATCTGGCCCAAGGTAGGGTGGCAAGAGCGTGATTTACTAGGCTGTGAAATAATTGCAGCCATATTTCCGCACAATTAATCCAAATGAAAGAAAAAAAAGGCGAGGTAGAAAGGGGAATCCAGTGCCAGCGCAATCAGAAAGAGCGCAATGCCAAAGGCTTTTTCAGCTTTTCGCGGGGCTGCTGCAGGGTGGTACACATTACGTCATCTTGGGAGACGCAAGATAAATGTGTGTGCCACTATTAGTGTCTCGGGTGGCTATCGTTTCGGGCAATATGGCTTGTTTCTTAGCCGACATGCTGGCAGTCGCCCCGCAGTCCATCATTGCACCTAATTTATTTTGGCAACTGCTGCGGAGATTTCTCTGTTTCCGTGCTCATTTTCCACACGAAAAAATAACAGCAAAAAACTAAATTTTTTTATATGTAAATTACGAAAAATAATTTACAACTTCTTACTAATTCTGCCAATTTTAAAATGAAATTAATAAAATAAAATCACTACATAATTTTATTTTAGAATTGCATTTTTAGCTCATTATATTTATCTCTGCAAACCCCAAGACTAGCTGCTTCTTCTCCGCAGCTGCTTACATCGAGAATGAAATTAAAACCCCAGACGCTGTGCAGCTGGCGAAGAGTTATCCTTTCATTTGCATTGTGATATTTATTGAGCCATACAAAACCCTTTCGCAGCCATTATAGTAACGAAGGGAGCGACCATCAACGTGCGCCACTTTAGGACAAATAACATCCTCTCTCTCTCTCCGACGATTCCAAAAGCCCTTCCTTATTCTCCCCCACGCTGGCAAATAACAAGAAACGGCAGCGAGCCTTGGACAAACTCCAAGAGCACATTTAAGCAATGATTTTCCTAGCCAACTTCTTAAAAAAGAAAGCCGAGAGAGAGCAGATCGCTATCCTAAATATTGCAGCTCTCACTTGCTCCTTTCCGGCTTTTTAACAGCTGCAACAAGTTAAGTTGGAGCTACGAGATGAAATAGAACATCTGGCAGTGCTCGCGTCCACCCAGGCAGAGTTGTGGAATAACTGCCAGTTCGTGTTGCGAGCCAGACAGAAAGTGGCGCGTTTAATTGTCTTCTTGCGTCGCTCACCCTCAAACTAGTTCTTTTGTGCGGATTTTTTTAGCGTTTAGCAAATTCCGTGAACAATAATTTTTTAAACACTTCAGTTTTAGGCTTTGCTGTAAGGTTTATTAAGTTTATTCTAATCGAATCATTAAAAATTAAATAGAAAATAAACAAATGAATTTGACTTGACATTCATTTTGATATTTTCATACTATTGTTTGACCACAAAAGGACACTTGCAAGAGGAAATACAGCGAGGCCTAGATGTAATTCGCCAACTTTCGAATCGTTGATCGAATTTGAACAATCTCAGCAGATTCTAAAAGCCCTACCTGAAAATTTGACTGTCATAGATGGAATTTTTAAGAATTTGAATTATAATTTTTTTAATCAAGAAAAAAAAATGAGAAATTGCTAATGGGAATTTGCATACATCAAAATTTAAACTATATAGCAAATGTGCAAGAGTAAAAGTGTGAAACATGTTTCTCGGGTAATCGACCCTGCTGAACACGAATCTGGGTTTTTTTTATTTATTTTTCTTATTTTAACCCTTAATTTGCAATTATTTCCCATTAGCGATTTCTCATTTTTTTGTTTTCTTTGAACTTTATTAATAGAATTTTATTCACCCCTCTAACCAACATTCTTAACATGTTTTTTTAGTGTTTTAATTTAATTTTTGTATCGATTTGATGTAAGATGTTGTGTATTTCATTGGATCTGAATGGAGAATAAATAAATAAATAAAATAAAAGATAGAAAGTTTTTCTCGATATTATTGAGAAGTTTCTTTGAAACGTTATAATAAGGAAACAAAATGACATTTCATCCAGAAGTTTCCTCATTTTTACTCTCATTATTCCAAGTGAAAAACAGGCTTTTCATCTTGCAAGGGCTCCCACGCTCCCTGTTAGCACGATTTGATAATATTTCCACCTCAGGCATGAAAATTGTATTTGAATAGTGATTTTCGTTTTCTCTTGGGGGGCAAAAAGCAGTCGTCGCTCCCTGGCGGAAAAGGGAGCTCGAATCGTTTTTCGTCGTTTCGCAACACCGCATATAATCGGTGGCAAAAACGACGCGCGCGTTTCTCTCTCCTACCTGCGTTGCGACCGAACGGTCTCGTGCTTTTTGTACCGCAAATGATAAAATTCGGTGTCAAGATTCGCATCGCTGAGAGAGGGAGCGAGTGAATTTGCAAATAACGCAGCAGCGGCCAAGGCGTGTGTTAAGTTGAATTCCGTGCCGCGCCCCACTCTCGCTGGACATGTAATGCAAAAGTCCAACGCAAAACAAAAAGCTTGGAGCGGACGGAAAAAAAGGGTCTCTACTCCCAAATAAGCGCAAGACAAAATACGCTCGCGTTCCGTGTATGGAATAACTTTGGACGCGGACAAAAGCAGCGAAACAAGAGGCTGCTGGTGACGGCCCGTGACAAATGTGGAAGCGACGGCTCGGAACCTCAAGGGGTCAGCGAAAACCCCCCGACATCAATCTTGATTAGCCGCTATAGAGTGCAGGCAGCAAAAAAGCTCCTTAGCACCTCCCACGTCCGGCCACCCGTCCGCCGACCTTTGCACAATAATGTCATCTTTGACGGCCCCGATTTTCCCCAGCTGCCGGACACTTGCTGACTTCTTGACCATCAAAAGGGAGCTTTCGTTGTGTGGGGGTCAGATTTAGGCTCAAAGTGTCTTTTTGTGGTTAATAAGATTTAAGATTAAATAAATAAACCAAAAAAGTTGCAATCGAGTCAAGATTTTTTTACACCCATAAAGTACTGAAAATACAAAAAAATTAAAACAAATTAAAAAAAAGCATATATTTGATGATAAAATGATTTGTTTTTAATTTGAAACTTGATTTTCTTGAAATATTTTGTTGCAGTCGCTCCAGTTTGCAAAGCTCAAGAAGTAATAGTCGTCGGCGGCTCGTTCAACGAGCAGCTCAGCATCCAGTGCGAGGTGGCAGCCGACCCTGGCGATGTCCACTTTGTCTGGATGTTTAACAATTCAGGCGAGAACAACCGCGTGTCCGAGGACCGCTTCCACAACCGCAACACAACCAGCACTCTCAGCTACACCATAATATCCGAGAGGGACTACGGGACCCTGCAGTGCTGGGGCACCAACCCCATCGGCCGCCAATTGGAGCCCTGCGTCTTCCAAGTTGTCCCCGCGGGTAAGAGCAGCTCCCGTTTTACATCTCTGTGGTCCAACCCTCCGAATCGCAGAGGGTGTTTTTTATAAAAAAAAAAAAAAAGAATATGAGTTGAATAAGTATTATTAGAATGGTGTATAATTGGAGAGTCCGGGCAACTTAATTGTCGTCTGTTTTAAACTTTCAAGAGGCTCAGAGAAAGTTTATTACAACTTTGACCTTTTCCTAGATAGTTTTGATATTCGTGCACGCACTGCACTCAATTTCTACCTTTTTAAAGATAAATTAATAGAAACTTATAATAGACACATTTATTTTTTGCAATTATTTAAAGAAAAAGCATGATGATGTTTTTTGCGTCAGAGAATGCCAAATCCCACCGACGCAGGCACTTCTGTTAATTAGAGCATCTCCAAGCTCAAGTTCCATTTATATGCCTCGCAAGTCAGTGTTTGCAACAAAAACATGAATTACCCTTAAGCAGAACACTCACCCTCTCAACTCGCGTGTATGTTTAGAGCCCCTAAAGTAGTTACGAGGATACTTTTGCAAGCATACAAAACCTACATCATAGCAGTGAAAATTCAATGAAATTGCGCCTCCACAATCACATACTGCGGTCATTTATTATTCCAGATATTTTACTTATTTGCAACACAGTTATTTTTATGTATAGCCTTTAATCATTATTATTTTTCTAAGCAACAAAATTCAAAACTCACAAATAAAACGTGAGCCCTGAAAATGTTTTTTTTTCGCTAGATATAATGTCAAGAGAGAATTTTATTTTGTCCTTCCCCCAACAGGTAAACCGTCGCCGTTGCGAAATTGTTCCTTGTTTAACCAAACCGGCGACTCGCTCGAGGTCGAGTGTGTGCCTGGCTTCGACGGGGGCCTGCCGCAAAAGTTCATACTCGAGGTGTACGAGGCGCCGTCGATGCAGCTGCGGCTCAACCTGAGCAGCGAAATCGCCCCTGCGTTCCGGGTTGCCGAGCTGCTTCCAGGGGCGAGCACCTTGCTCAGGATGGTCTTGTATGCGGCCAACCCGAAAGGTCGCGGCGAGCCCACCGTGCTGGACAATATCGCCCTGTGGGACGCTGAGAGACGGACAGGTACTTTAGAACAGAAGCACTCTCTTCTGGCAATTTGTCTGTCGCATCATTTTTTTTTTCATCCATGTCTCTGTCTGCCTGCCGTTTGAGTTTTGATTGAGTTGCTTTTTATTTCGATTTTGCTGGAAATTGAGTTTTCCTCTCTCTCCGTCTCATTTCCTATGGTGGAAAATAGAGGGAAATTCGTTTTGCATAGCCGGCACTTTTTGTTACATTACTCGTTACCTTCGTTTCCACACGCACACTCTTTGCCGCCGCCGCCGCACCTCTACTCTCTCTCTCTCTCATATTATACTTTTCGTCAAAATCCAAAACACCCTGTGTGTGTTTCTCTTGTCCCTGTATTTCACATTTGTACAAAAAAAAAGGGAAATCGGCAAAACCTCACGCCACTTTTTATGCCACACGCCAAATTTTCTGTGCACAAATCCACTTTCAGCATGCGCGCACTTTCATCGCAAAAAAGCTGTTTTTACGCAAAAATAAATATACACAGAAGATGCTTGCATCGGTATATTTTATCTTGTTTGCAAAACAAACTTTTGCCTCCTTCCCACTGGAGACTGCAGAACAAACGCCCGTGTTTTATGTTTGGTAATTTTTATTGCGCTATCTTCTGCAGCTTTTAAAAGGAGCTCTGTTCTCCACTCCTGAAGGAAACAAATGTCACTTTTCTCCTTTTCTGCTTGATTATATTTCATGCGCTGAATCAGAACAATTCCGTTCTGATAATTATAATAAATAACTTATAATTTCCACTTTTAATCTTGTAACTTTTTTACACCTCAATCATTTTTTATTACATTAAAATAATGAATAAACATTTAAAAACTATTTTTCGCTTTATTTATTTATTTTATTGAGAGAAAATACATTAATTAATATTAAATAATTATTGATTATATTATAAGTAAACCAAATTTGAAATAAAAAAATAAATGATTTAAAAATAAGAGAATAATTTAGGGCGCGAGAACAAACCTCTCAGTTATTGGCCCCAAAGAATTCCTTGTTCAGCCCCTCGTAGAGACGCGGATGTATCTCAATTTAACAGATACCTTATTTTGCAGATTCAGTGCCCTCTGACGGCGCCGACGCCCTGAGCCTCTTGCCTTTGATCGCTCTGATGATCGGCGCCCTGGTCACAGGCTTGTCCGTGGCCCTGCTCTTTGCAGTGGCGCTTCGCAAGCGGCGCCACAGCGACGGCACCATTGCCCAGAAGTCGAAGGCACCCAGCGGCGAGCCGCAGGTCATGGACATCAACCATGACCATTACGTCGTGTCTTACACCCTGAAGAGCATGCCCGAGCAACCTGAGCAGCGGCAGCCAGACATTCTCACGGCCAGATACGGTACCGGTCCTAATTATTTATAGGGTTAGTCCCTGGAGCCCTTTAAGCTGCAAGTTAAGGTGTTCTCCTGGGCACCAACACACACGCGCTTCCTTTTCCTTTCTCTTAATGACCCCGGGCGAGAAACGGTTGGGGAATTCAAAATTGCAATTGAAAGCATGCATGTGTCGAGCCAAGCCAAAAAATGGTTAATAATTTATGAATTACTTCAAATAACAAACTTTATTTCAACGCACTAAATAAAATATTGAAAGTTTTTTTTTAAGAAAATTTCGTTTCACAAAGAATAAATTGTTTCATATGTTATGTGCAAAAAGTTATACTTTGAGTTAAAAACTATTTTTCCAAGATAAAAATGGTAAAAAAAAATTGCATTTAAAATTTCCCAGGAAAACACCTGCTGGGCTAAAGCAGCTGAACTTCCAATTCTGATCGCAAAGTTTTTTTGTTCCTAACAAAAGTTAATGCCTGCAGATTCCGCTATCAACGAGCGGATGAAACGCCCCGAGGTGTTATTTCCCCGCAACGGAGACCTGGAAGTTGTGCCCACATCTGCTTCGGACACAGTCCATGTGGTCACCTCAAGACCACCACCCGTCCCTCCACGTAGCGATCTGTCTTCCAACGCAAATGGGAATTATTCTCGCCAAAGCCCTGGGGCTTCAAATTTTGTAAGTATATAATAAATTTGTTTGAGAGCAGCTTTAACCTTGCATCTTCACAAACACTCATGAATTGCTCAGCCATTCTATTTTTAATTAGTTGATTTTGGTATTGATTGGAATGTGGACTGTGGAGTATTATTCATAAAAGCTTTTCTGCATTAATTTGAGGCTCGATTTGCATTATTATGTTATTTAATAGCAGATTTATTATTCTAGAGATTTTTTACAAAGGAAAATAATGAGTGTTGGCATAATATTACAAATCTGGTCAATCAACGTGACTGACAGGTTGACTGGTTTGTGTAGCAGAGTGGCGCTGGACTGTCCGCTGCTCCTCGAAGAGGTTCCCCTGACGCTGGAGACAACAATGGCTGCGAATTGAATGGATCCCTCATCAAAGAGACGCTCATGTCCAACCACATTCCCGAAAGTTGTGTTTAATAACCTTCTATGTCTAAGTGTCGAATTGAATGTTGCATCGCGTTTACTCTAAATCGACATCTTGTATATTACAAAAATGTTAAAAAACGGTACCACTTAAAAATGCTATTAATATAATGACGATACAATAATTTGAACTGACTGAGTGCAACAAACACGCGGCAGTGGAAGGAAAATCTGGTGATATTAAACATGTAAGTGAAAAAGGCTTAAGTTTTTCATATAAATAATAATTATGCTCTTTAAAAATATGCAATTACTGTTATTGCGTTGGTAAATGATGAAAGTTTATTGGACACTGTGTATGTGTTGACGTGCGATTTTTAGAATAAAACACCGTTCGCGCTACTTGCGAATATTGTGAAAGTGCGCTTCTCATTAAAATATTGAAGAACCAACATCATGGAATATGCCAGGTGTGAGCAATTTTTCTTTTTAGTTCTGATTATATATTAGATTCACACAAAACAGTATTTTACATGACAAATGTAGTACATCATGAAGAAAAAAATTGTTATTAGGGTAGGGTGTTGTCATGTTTTAGGGTGTAAAAGAAATTAGTATGTTTTTCTAGATTCCATTGGAATTTTTTTCAAATATGTTTTAATTTCAAGTAATACCTTCGGACGTTGTGTGCAAATGAAAAGTGTGTGTGCAATCATTAAATGGCTTCCCTACGTCCCAATGCAAAATGAGAACAATGAAACTGTATATTACTATATCGATATGAATAAATGTTTGCATTGTTGGTGTGGAATAAACAGAAAGACACTGCGTGTATTAACAAAAACCTTTTGCTTGGCAGCAAAGGTCAAATCTTCCAATAATATTGTAAAATCTCTTTATTATCAGATATTTATGTAAATAAAACGTAAAAAGATGTAAGAAGAAATCTTTGTGATACAAGTTGAAAATGCTGTCAAACCAATGTTTTTGAAAAATAAAAAAAATGAAAATAAAATTGATTTCGTAAAAATGTCTGCCTCCTGTTTCTTTGTGACGTGTTTTGGTTTTGTGGAAAAACAAGTTGGTTTTAGTTTCATCCATAAATTACTTTATTGGAAAAGAGACTTACTAATCAATTAATTAGAGATTATTGAGAATTCAGTCATATTTGAGGACGTAAAAATTTTACAAGAAATATATAGAAATATTAGAAATTGCTTTGATGGTAGAATTTGAGAAATTTGAGTTTAAATGCTGAATCAAATATATAATGATATATAGCATTACTCATTGCAATTTTTTGAAAGATTTTTTTAAAAGCATCCAAGGCAAAAGCCAAAAATTTGAAAGTTTGATCCCATATATAAAGCGCCTGTGATTCAGCGCACGCACAATACAATTTTAAGGTTCTATCTACAATATATTGTATCTAATAAATTTTTATCCTAATAACTTCAGCATCAAACAATAAATAAATCAAATTGTCTAATAAAAAGATGGTTGCTATCATATACACTTATAAATTGTAAAATTATTGATGAACATTAAAAACATTATTATCAAGTCACACTGGAATGTTAAGTTCACAAACAGGTGAAAAAATCTATTATTCAAAAATTCAGGAAAATGCATAGATTTTGAGATACAGGCTGAAGATAGAAAAGCTCGATTTTGCCAATTTCTAAATTTTACCAATCCTGTGCACAGACCAGCTGCGGAAGAGTTTTCTTGATTCCTTCTTGATTTCCCGACCATAGGACACTTCGACTTCGATGGATGCTCCTGTGCTGAGGTTTAATGATGTTTTCACAACACTCCCATCAATGGACGCGTCTTTTTATATAAACAAAATTAAAATTCTTTCATGTAAGTTTAAAGAGAACAAAAAGTACCTTGCATGAGTTCCTCTATTGTCACTCGTCGAGACGCGACCAATTCTTTTCCAGTAGCCCTTATTTCAAAAAGTAGAGCTGCCTGTTTCGAAACACCTTCAGGGGTTTCTATCTCAAAAGCAAGGTTGAAAAGTGGATCTGGTATGGCTGGAATTAGTCTAGACTTGGCCAAAGTTTTTCCTCCGCTTCGATGAGACTTTTCCGAGCTAATAGTAGATTTTTAAATATTTCATTACATAGATTTACATTTGTTAATTTACCTATGCAGCTTGATTCTGCAATATACTTGGGCAATATGTGCAACGTGAAGCCCGTGGGCTTGAACAACTTTTCCTTCAATACCATAAAACTTTTCAGCCGGTATCGAATCACATTGAACCTCGGCTTTTAGATCTGTGCGCAGAAAATAAATTGTCAATAGTAACAGAAATTCACATTTATCCAACACAATTAACACTTAAAGCGCAGGTGTTATATGGGAGGAAGTGCAGTGCTAACCTGTGGTGCGTGCGCGGAGGCGGCAAGGAATGTTGGGTTGGGACACAGCATGTTTCAAGCGCTCACCATTCAGAAGGTCGGAGGCATCGGCTTCGCCCCCTCCTCTGGGCTCAATATTCAGAGTTACCTGGCTGACTCCGTTGGCCTCGTCGCTTCCTGGCATGTTAACTTCAGACCGAAACCTCCGCAGGTTAAGGCCACGTTTGACCTGAATACAAGAATAAAATATAATAAAAAAAATGATCAGATTCTTAATTTTTGTTCTAATTGCTGTTTCATATACACTGATATAAAAACTTATACTATGAACAAACCTTGTTTTTCATTGTGCGAAAGCTGCTGTACTGGTCAACAAAACTTTTCTTTGAGCCAGGTTCAGGGCTAGGTGTCAACGAACCCCTGCCATTGCTGGCTTTGAGGCCATTTGGACTTCTTTCACAGCCAGAGACCACTACCGACGTGTGTGCTGGGGGCTCATTGGAGTAGGAGCTGTAGCTTCCAGAGCCATTTGTACTGATTGTCGGAACCAAGGGTACTTTCGGTGCTGCAAAATCGGTTTTAAGTGTTTCTCCATTAAAAAAAAGAATGCATGAAGCTGAAAAAAAATACATACGCTCAATTACATGATGGTGATGATTAGCTCCTGATCTATTAGGTTTGTAATTTACTGTCACTGTTCTCATGGGGACTGGCGGCTTGCTATCCAATGCCAATTTCAGCTTTCCACGATCTGTGCTATCTACCGAGTTTCTCGGGGTTAAGTTTTTAGGCGTCTCCGCTGACGATGACAATGATTGGTTTGTACTGAGAGGTGATGCAAACTGTATGAAGGTTGTATATGAGTATAAATCAAAATGCTCGGCCTTTTTGCTGTATTTACCCCTGTTGTTTCTGAAATAACTTTTACTCTGATCTCTATAGCACCAGTCTTGACACCCTGTAGTTGCCTCCACTGGGCCGTGTCCAGTGAAGACAAATGTCTAATCTCGTCTACAGTTATTGATACACTGCCTATAAAGTCTTTCATTCCAAGAACATCATGGTCCCATATCACCTATAATTACAAAAATATTAATTTAGCCCTTATTATTGACATATTGAAGAAAATTACTAAGTCGAGAGTTTCTCCTTGTCGTGGGAGCCCCATGATGGCACTCTCCTCCCAGATAGGATTCAACGTCTTTTTCTTAATGTTGGATTTATATTTACACTCTCCATTTATTTTCACTTCACAATAGGGGTCACTGAAGCCATTTAGGTCCTTTGCTTCCAAATCTTTAGCCCTAGAATTTTATTTTACATTTTAATTAGTTTGTTCTTTTAATATATAATATTTTATTCAAACCTTATGAGATAAACTTCCATTAATCCGGTTCCTTTGGCCAAAAGCGAGCTGATATCGTTCATTTCTACTTCTTTGTGCGAGAGAAGTTGTTTCTAGTAAAAATAATGACAAATTATATTTCTCTAAGCACCGTCAATACAAAAAATAAACTTACGGCTTGCTGCATCCAATTATTCGAACTCCTCTTACTACGACTAGAGCTAACAGAAGAGTCATCATCATCTGACCCTCCTGGGCTGTTGGCTGCGGCGGTCGAGCCTCCTGTATGAGATCCTATGGATTGGGCAACTGAGCTGACTGGTTGGAAAATTACAGACACAGTAATTGTGCCGACAGGGGAAGCAGTTCTCGGTGGAGAGTTGACATTAAGTTGTAAAACTCTCCTTAACACAAAAGGCTCCTCCTATAAAAAGATTTTTACTTAATCATGAATTTGAAGCAAATTTAAATAAATATAAATATTTTTTATTATTAGTATTTTTAAAGTAAAAAAGAATATTAATTAGATTTTACCTGTGTGAGAGAAAATGTTGTGATGCCCAATAAGTCTGTGTCCCCAGTTTTGTCCCTACCCCATGAGCAGACAACAAACGACAGCATTGCTTGAGTAAAGTCATTGACCAAGAATTGCGCCTTTGATTCCCACTGTGGATTGCCAGTCGCTTTGACGTAATGCGTCGTCTTGACCTTTTTTCTTCCATTGAACACCATGCAGTAGGGATTACATGAGGCCGGTTCGCCAATCACAGCTAAGCCATCAGCACTATGAACACAGACTAGAAGCACTCCAGATAGGCCTCTGTCCGAGAGACTAGGAGGAATTTCCGAAGTTTCAAGATTTATTGAGGGCAACGGAGTGTATTCCAGCCTCATACAAATATTAGGGATGGAGCCTGATGATATTTTTGTTAGCTTTTTGTGCAGCAATGTTTCTACCCTAGAAATTAAAAAAATAAAATATAAAAAGTCTGCAAATTTTATGCAAATAATTTAACACTAACACTTTAGCAGAATCAAGGTTGTAGCTCGCAAGAGGCAGCTCAAACTGAGCCAAGGTAATTGCGCTCACAAACCGTTTGGTTTTAAGCTTTACTAAGAGTGTATCAGTGTGTAAGGAAGGAACCAAAAATGATCCAGTATGTTGCCAACGTGGGCCAAGGTGCGATGTCACAATTCTTTGATCCCCTAAGCACAAGACGAGCCACTTGGCATCATCACCACTGGCAGCTAGAAATTTAATTTAAATTAATATCATTTGAAAAAAAAGTAAAATTAATGTCTAACCTTCTTTGGCTGGATTTGATGCTGGACCAGTGCCCATTGTTAGTGTTATGGTAAGGACGCCTTTAGCAACGGTGTCGCCTGGGCCATGCGCTGCTGAGGGCCTGTCGGCAGCAACTAGGTTTACATCTAAATGTCCTGGATCGACAAGGGAAGTCACGAGCGCCTCCATCACAACAGAGTGAATCCAAGTTTTCAAGAGTGGAACTTCCATCATTTGTACAGCCTTTTTAAAAAGATTAAAGATTCCGTGTGTTATATAATTATTTTTAATTTAATTTATTATACCTTCAAAATCCGCACACTAAACCAAACTTCTGGCCTCTCCAAAAAGGACAGAGAAAAGTGAGTGACGTGAGGGAAAGGAGCGTCCATATTTAGAGTGAATGTGATATAAATGCGGCCAGAAATATTGAGCTTTTCCATGGCTAAGTCCAAATCCATGCCAACTCTGAGAACAGCCAACAAATTTGGGTCAGACGAGCAATTCCGGAAGAAACAGTCATATTTCACTTAGCATGTCACCATTACTCAAGTGCGCACATATCTAGTATCTTGCCAAAAGTTTTAAGTTACAAGAGATGTTAACATTAAATTTTTATGAATATATTTATAGGGATTTCTTCAAACAAACACAGCACAATTGGCAAAAGTTTACAAGGTAGAGGACGTAAAAAATAAAATGAATTAAAATAATAGCCTGTTAAAGCATATTAGGAAAAAATTTAAATGTAAATAAAATGTGTATAAAATAAATAGTTAAAAAATTTCATTCTAATAATTAAATTAGTTAAAGAATAATTTAAAAAAAAAATTTCGTATATAATAAGAAATAATCAAAATGTGGCAGTCAAGGAAAAAGGAATATTATAATACATAGGTGAAAACTTACCCTTTGCCAAATCTTGACCTCAAAATCATTCTGAAATCATCGCAATCAAGTCTGACGTCAGCCTCGAGGGCAACTTGATGGTTTAACTTCAACGCTAGTCCTGGGGGAGGTCGAGCCAGGCTTGCAGGACTCAGAGGTCTTCGCACTCCGCCTCCGCTAACGTCAAAAGCCCTCACACTACGCACATGCGGTGTTTGATCACCCAGAGTAAACTGATGAAGCTCCAGGCGCTCTGAAAAATTATAAACCAGAGCGATGTTAAATTAGCAATTTCATATATTATAATTTCTTAAGTTTTTGCACCATAAGAATTTTGAATGGGCTGATATTACAAAGGCTCACACAAGTCCATAAATATCGTGCAAAAAAAATGGCAAAGCGTGCAAGCGTTGGATATATAACGTATGATGTAACTAGTAAAAACTGTTAAAAAAACTATATATATTTTTTCGCAAAGTCCAAAGGCCACAGTAAATGCCACGGTTAGCTCTGCTTAACAACAAAAGAGTTATTTTCCATGGAATTCTATTCGCTCTATGACCAGCTCAAAATTCCACAATGGCCATTGTTTTAGCGTGTTACATTGTTACTCGCTTTTTGTTTCATCTGTGTAGAAATATGAGCACGATATATGCACTTATAAAACGACATAATATTGTAAATTATAAAGTGTGCTCTTTTCTGGAGTCACAAAAATCCGAGTTCTCACTCCAAGTTGACAAAATTAAAGTAATAAAAGCTACAAATTATTATTAAAGGTTTAAATTACTCACCAACCATGGAAGGTTTGACCTCATTCAGAAGAGGCTCCAAATGCTCCCGAATGAGTGCGTACAAACTTGGAGAGCTAAACACCCACCTATAAAAAGGATTTAACCATTCAATAAAATAACACTTTTTTCTGTAGCCAATTTTTTTTACCATCGATTAAGCAAAAAGTTGAACCATTCTGCCGTCTCGTCGACGCTCAATGCCCGTCTCCGCGCCACCCTCAGCGTCTCATAACGAATCGCACCTTCCACCAACCGTCTTAACGATGCCCTCCAAACGGCAGCTAAAAGGGCCAGAAGCAGAAGAAGCCAAGCCACAGAAACTCCCGTGGCGCCGAGAGCCCAACTCGCAAAAACACTCCCAGCCACAAATGCAAACATCCAGCCTAGCTGTGCATCTCTCTGTAACATTTGAATTGGTTGAACAAATTAAAAACGTCTAAATCAAGAACATTCACGCGAAATTCTTTATTAAAAAATTAATTAAAAGATCGAAAGGAACTATTTTTTTACCGAGTGAGATAAAATAGTAATTAAAAATTTCTTGTCCTAAGAAATTTACAATGTAAAAAAAAATAAAAGTGCCGAAGTGAATGACCTTTGACTTTTTTACTGTGGTTGAGACTTAATATCAGATTTTCCACCTGCCATATGTTTTGCTGGCATTTGTATTAAAAGGTAACTGGATTTGTGAGTAAAACGAATTTTCCCCGCACGCGAGCAGAGGTCACGGAAGGTTTCAAGAGCTCTCATTATAAGAGGAAGATTATGGTGAAAAAGCAATGCTAAATCCGTCATCCGTCTCTGCGAGTATTGGCAGACATTAGCCAGCTGCGGTCAGCAGAAACGTCATTTAGAAAATTGAAAATTAGTTTAAGTGGTAATTAATATTAAGTCATAAAATGCATTAAAAATTAATTAAAAGCCAATCCAATTTAACTGCAAATTAAATAAAAACAAAGGCGAGTTTTGTATTCCAAGTGGAAAAGCACTCCAGCAATAAAACGATCTTTCCCCGACCCGCCTTAACCAACTTGCACACAATGCCATTGTCAGCGCATATAGAACTGCCCTTACTTAAATTAATTATTGCAGTCCACATAATCACAATGAGTACGATGCAACAATACGTTTTCCATTCATTCACAACACTTGATTATCCAATGCAAATTATATAAGAGCAGATTTCAAAACAAGCGAGGCTCTTGCGAAATCTCCATCACTGGCCCTAGTACTTCTCGCAATCCTGATTAAAGAAAAATCCCACGCCCAGCAAGAAAAGTAGTGCTAAGTGGTGTCATAAAACGCTATTACTCCGAAGCAGAATCACAGCCATAAAGCGCTGCCCCATTGTGGTTGCTCAAGGGAAAAACGCCCAGATTCCCTCGTCAATGGTAAAGGTTCGGGAAGCTGCAAATTTAACGCAGATCCGCACGCGCCACAGGCCGATTGCCTTGTCCAGATGAAAGACGGCCTTTGTGATGTTTTGCTTCTTGGAAAGTAAATACACAAGATTTGGCATCATATATTTATATTTTTGTGTGAATGCCACTGTCGGGCCATAAAACGATCCAAAAAAGTATCGGCGGTGTAAATATTTACGGTGCAGGATTAGAAATCACGCCCTTCTGGCGTGCTCAAAGGTCATTACTGAAGCCGGGGGCCGATTCGCCACTCTGCCAAATGACTTTTAAAACGAGGTTAACAGGTCAGTGTTCAGTCAGAGTGCCAGGTGCACTTGAAAAAATTGTGAACCAGACAGGCAGAGTTCATCAGCAAATTCAATCCTTAGCTAGATGCAAATTTATATTAACGCTCAATTTCTTAACTTATTTTTTTTTTTTTTTTAACTTTATTGGCATTTAATTTTGTCATGGAATTAATATAGTAATAATAAATTACTATTTAATTAAATAATAAAATTGGATAACATCAGGATAGCATAATACAGCATAATATTCCAAATATGTTCCGTTTTATAACATTTTTACGCTGAAAATGTATTTTGGGCATGTTGTGTTTTAGGCAAACGTTTCGCTCTCCTAACCAATACAAATTGACTCAACTCCAAATTGAATAAAAGCTCAGGGGTTTAACATTACCGCATTAAACACACAGGCGCTCAATTACCCATAGCCACACTGTGCATTAGCAAGCGGCTTTTAGCCTGCACGCCAGACAGCTAATTCAGTAAATTCCGTGATTGTCTTTGTGCGTGTCTCCTTTAAAAATCACGTGCCGGCTTGGTACGCCTGTATGTACATTTTGGTGGCGGCGGGTCCACATTGAAAAAGTCTCACGGTCGTTGAAGCCATATATATGAATAATTATTGCCATGTGACTGGCGGGCGCGTCAGGTACTCCATGAATATGCTTGGCTGACCTCTGGCAATGACTTTTGCACTTGCAGTCTCTTCAAAATGAGCTAAATGTTCGGTAAAAGCCATGCATGGGTGGCTATTTTGAATTCAAAAAGACTTTTTTTTAAGTGAAGGGCAATTGTTTTGATATTTATTAATTTATTTCTCAATTTATGATTTTTTTCCTTCATCTTTAACTGTATATGATTATTTTGTGAATTATCTTTGTGTAATTATATTTTTGTTTTAATATTTAAAAAACGTCGTACTGATCCTTGTCATTTAATTCAAAAACAAAATCCAATTGATCCTGCTATATACAATGCCTGGTGTTCTATTTTCAATGATGATTAATTTAAAAATGAAAGCGATATATATTTTTTGCTTGGAGCATGTTACATGAATATTTAAAAAAGAAATTCCTGGCATTGCTTTTAACGTGATACCAGCAGCCCTGCGACACTTTGCTCACAGAATCAGCAAGAGTAGATCGATGCCTACGTAATTGGGCTCGCGTGCTCTGTAGCCTCAGGAGAGAATGAAGCAGCAAAAAGAACGACAATTACTGCAGCATTTTAACATTTTACACGTATCTTTAGCGAGGCATCTGCAGCACAAAGACTTACACACGCAATATTTTTAAACTATTCTCAACTTTTTCACGTCCGTATTGGATTTTATGTAATAATAATTTAGCAAAATAAGGAATTATATTTTTCTCCCGGATTTACAAAATATATTGTGTGTTTTAAACGAATATTGAAACTTTCTCATGTTTTTAATGCCAAAATTTTCAAATTCTTATTTTAACCATTAATCCGATACACCTGAATAAAATTTTTGCATTTTCACAAAATTATAAACTATACATTTACCACATTTACTTGCCACAAAATCTAAGAATATGCTCATTGATATGTCAATAAACTTTGAAACCAACAACAAATAATTTTAAAAAAAATCAAACCTTATTTATTTAGCTTTTTTTAAGCACCTATGTACATTTTAATATTTATTATAAATATTTTAAAAATTTATTTTATTTGTAAAGTTATTATGTTATTATAATTAAATAATTTGTTTTATTAAATTTATAAATATATAAAATATTATAATAACTCTCAATTTATTGTCATTGGATAAGACAAATGATTTTAGAATAAACCAGTTTAATACAAAGTGCACCAATGGATGTCTGACGCAGTTTGTTTCAAATTACTTTAAAGATAAGTTACATACGTAAGAGAAGGACAACAACAAAATTGCCAATGCCCGGCCCAATCCTTACAACGAAAGAAAGGGGTTCTTTAATATGATGGCAAGCAAAAATTTTCTTAATCATCTCCTTCCTTATTAACCAGCGGTCAATTTATTGCGAGAGTCAAGGTTGAGCCGGCGCACACAATGCACTTACCTGAGATTTATTGGCCAGCTCCGTTTCGTAATCATCGTCCGTCGACGACAATGTGCTACTGCTGGCGGCTTTGCTCCTCGAGCTGGGAAGGTCACCCATAATCGGCACCATTGTGTCCTGACTCTGTTTCGCGCTCAGGTCATCGTCGGAACGCTGCCTAGCGCTGCTGCTCCTTCGCAGAGCTGTGGGAATAAAATAGCAAGTTAAACATTTATACACAAAAAGCACTTCCTGCGCAAAAAAAAAATATCTTAAAAAAAGTGCTCTCCGGACGTGCAACACTCGCGACCTTTACTTAAATTTGCACACCTGGTGCGAGAAACAAAACAATTTTAAATATCAAGGGGTTCTTGTCTGGATTATATTAAGTAAAAGGTCACAATGTCCTGTTGAACTTTGATGAAACCAGAATTTAATTATTCTGAGTAGCCATAAATACTGTACGTGAATTGTAAAGGTTTGGTCGCGCGTTTCTGCAAATTTCGTTGAAAAATATTAATAAAGATAAAAGCGATAATGCAATAAAAATTAATAAAATTTAATGCAACCTTCTGCGCACCACTAATAAATAGCATAGGCCGACAACAATTGGCCCAACAAAGTTTATTATTGACATAATTATAACAATCAATAAAAATAAAAATTTAATATACAAACTTGATATTTTGCGCATTTTTATCAATTTCATCTCTTTTATTCTTCGTTATTGAAAGAAAAGTCGTATTTTGAGAGCGTTTATAGATGATTTCAGTTAGGTAAGGTGTTAAGGTGCCTGTCATTTCCTTTTTTAAAATTATCTCCACTGTTGTGTGCAATTTGAGAAATCATTAAATTACTAATAAAGCAATGAAATATAATAATTGCAATGTGTTGCAATGTAAACTTTTATTGACTTTTTAGCATGCTCAAACCTAAACCTCCCTAAATACTCATGTTATAGTTCCGCAATCGACATTCGTCAATCTTGATGAATCAACACAACCTGAAAATGTTGTTATGTACTTAAAATTGGCCGCGACCACCTCTTGCACGCAAGCGTTATGAAAAGTTTTACGATACGTGAGAATCAATAGTGACTTCATTAATTATTCAAAAATGGACACAACAGAAGCAGCACGGGATGTTAACAGCGGGTTGAAAAGGGATGGTAGAATTTTAATGCGACGCAGAATGAAATAAAATTTTCCGCTTATGATTCACAAATTATACAATCGTTTTACACTGATTGACGTATCGTCAGGTGAATAAATAAACATCATATTAATGCTTTCAGTGCTTCCCAATTCCCAAGTCTTTCGATTTTCAAAATTGTTACATCAGCATAAAATGTATTTAATATTTGCGGACTTTCTAGGTTATTTTTCCCCTTATATTAGATTACTTTTGCGTATATTTATTGGATATATCACCTGCGTCACACACCGCATGATGAAAATTGAATTTTTATTTGCTGTGGCCGTAGAAAGGAGAACGCGCGTTGGTCAGAGTATAATTTGGTTTAAATTTTTAATGCGCGCGAGCTTGAACGTGCAATGAAATAATGTTGTCTGCCTTGTAATTTAGCTGAATGTGTACGCTTTGCATTATTGATTTCGTGATGAGTTCCGACTGGCCGAGCGCGTTGCGCGTGTATTAGTTAGCCAGAGTGAGCCCCAGAGCCCAAAATGTGTATGTGACTTTGTAGTTGGATGTTACACGCGGCACCTGCGGCACAACAGCGGTGATTGTTCCTGGTCAAAGAAAGGGTCGCTGTGTGCTCACCGCCGTGCCCTGCATTGGCCGGATTAGCGGCTTCGCGGCAAGGTTCAATTAGCTGCGAGTGAATTAGTTTTTGACACCTGCACACTTGTACAGTCTTGAAACAAGATAATTTTTCTCAAAATGACAAATTTATCTGCAAATTTCCTAAAATCGCAGATTAGTTTTAAGACAATAATAAAATTTTACAATGCTTGTTTTAAAAAGTTTTCACTTATTTTTTTTGCCTTTGTTTTATTTTACAATTTTTCAGTTATAAAAAATTATCAGCTGAAGGCGCTGCGGCCTATAAATTTAATCTCTTATTTCTCAACATTATGACGGAAATGCTTAATAAAATTGATACTGGTGGTCTTTAAGGAAAAGTAGTAAAATTTGGGCTTGGCCTCTTTTAGACGAACTGCTAATTATTTCATAGATTGGATGTAATCAATGTTTACAATTCACGGATCAAAAAAATATTTGGATATGAGGGCGTGGCAAAATGATAATAATTGTGCAGTTGTGCAAAAAATGCATTGCAATGTTAGAGCAGGTTTTTTTAGGACTTATAAATAGCAGTAAAATTTTTATTATTTTTCTACGAATAGGAGCACCTTCTTTTCCAAGGAACATTACCTTTTTACGCGATAAAAGCAAAAACAGCATGAAAGCCTCAGCTTTTAGAGATTAGGTTTTTGGCTCTACGCTTTTAAGGCAGTGTGGATAATATACAAAATCCTAAAATCTAGCTTAAGGAGCGTGGTGTCTACTCCGCTCAACGCTATATTTATCTACTTACTGTCGAAATTTTGTTAACTAACAAAGAGAATTTCGGACGAGAGGACAATTACAAAACTTACGCATTTTTTTTAGATTGATGTTTTTTGGATGTGGTATGATTGCGAAGTGGCTCAAAAATTTAGCTGTTAATATCAAATAAAACCAATATTAAATCTATATTAAATTTGATACAGAAGTGAAATAATTATTTATAAAATTAATTTCTTTCTCATTTGACTTGATTTGTGAAGAATAAACAATAATAATAATAATTTATTAGTTTGGTTTAAATTTAAGTTCACCTATTGCACAATTTAGGTGGGTTGATTATAAACAAATAACAAATTTTATGTGGTGTTTTGCTCATTTAGAAAGTAACCTTAATAAATGATAGAAAATTTCCAGCATTTTGTGAAAATCAGCTGCAGAATTCCTTGAAATTTCTGTTAGTGGGAAAATTCACCTATGACATTTTATACCTTTTTACTTATAAAAATCAATGTGTTTTTAATGTTATGTTATAGGTTATAGAGTTGAAAATATGTTGGGAAAATAATAAAAAATGTTCTTCTATTTTCCAAACATATTTTCTATTCTGACGACTTCCAATTTTGAACATTATTAAATCAGACGGCCAAACCACTTTAGCAATTACTCATTCAATCACTCGGCCCAAATGACAGCTCCGGAAATTTTCAATTTGCAATCTCATTCGCACCCTCTCGAAGATGATAATCTCGCGCAAGGCGCCGACGGCGCAACCAGGAAGTAGATAGAGATCGACTGCCTGCGAGAGACGCAGCAAGCTTGCCGACAACCCCATGCACGCTTCTCTTGCCTGAAAGTCAGGGTTTCGGAGCGGTGAATTTAAAAACGCTCCTGCGCTCCTTGGAGCGTTTGAGGAGCGGCAGAACCGCTCCAGCGCTCCCAGGAGCGAACGCTCCTTAGATCAAACGCTCCTGCGCTCCCAGGAGCGTTTGAGGAGCGGTACTAATCGCTCCTTCGCTCCTAGGAGCAAACGCTCCTCAGTAAAAACGCTCCTTGCGCAAAGCGCTCCAAGAGGATTTGCGTCAAATTCCATTATTTTTTATTTATAAGGGACTTAAGTCATATTAATTAAAGAAAAAATTCAACTTATTATGTAAATCATTATTGAATATCAAATTTTGAGATTACAATAATCAAAAATTTAAAAATATGTAGCCTAAACAAGTATAACTTGCCAGGCAAACGTAAATCAGAAAGAGGTGTACTCATAATTTCTACTTTAAAAAATATTCCTGTCATATTTTGAAGGGTTCTTTCTTGCAACTCAGTCAGTTGTTAAATAGGATTTTAAAAATATAAAACTCGACCCCCAAAATAGGACGATATTTCCGCGTGTAGTTTATCCTAACCATAACATGTATGATTTGTACATGTTTTCGTGCGACCTGAGAGCTGAGAGGTAGCATAAAGAAAAGGGTTAAGGAGAGGCAAACAAAAGCACATTGATGGCAGTATGACAACTCCAAGACCATTTTCTTCGAATTGAGAATCCTATTTAACAATTGATTGAACATGTAGAATATGACAAGGGTGCAGGCGCGCTTGCTTTTTAAAAATAACACTCTCTATTTTTTCTCAGCAGGCATACCTTTAAATCGCATGATATCTTGATACTTTACGTGGAAAACTAAATAGAAATACTGAGTTAATAATTAAACTTTTCAGTCCCAATTACATGATCGAATTATATGAATAGAAAATATATTTCCTATTTCTGTGGAACGCGCATCGAGGAGCCAAATAAATGCTCCTGGAGCGTCCGCTCCTTGGAGCGGCTCGAAAAAACGCTCCTAGGAGCGATCGCTCCTTGGAGCGCTAGAAAAAACGCTCCTGCGCTCCTTGGAGCGTTTGAGGAGCGCTGACGAGCGCTCCTTTGCTAAAAACGCTCCAAGGAGCGTTTGCTCCGCTCCAAAACGCTCCCGCTCCGAAACCCTGCTGAAAGTGCAAAAGTGTGCAAAAATCACCTCTTTTGGTCGGACTCGGGGTCCGTTGCTGCTGCTGTTTGGTGAAGTGCTTCTCAAAAAACGACAGCATGCTGTCCGAAGGGGCCCTTTGGTGTCACATATTCCTCCTGGTCTCAACGTGTGAACCGCGACCCTTGGAGCAAATGCATCTCTCGCTTGTTCCTCGAGCGGAGAGGCGCCTCGACTGAGCCCAAGTTCAGTTCTGCGCACTCGGCGCTTGCTGGCCTCGATCCCTGCATCCCGCACTACACTAGCGCTCGGACGGTCGGTCAATATTGGGTGAAAAGAGAGGCGGGCTCGGCATATCTAACAAGTGGTGTGTGTCGGAGCGGCCCGTTCCATTACCGGCGCGCTGGCCGTGCAAACCTTGTTTTCGCATTTCTCTCGCCTTTTCCATCTTCTCTGGCGAGAAAAGTCTGAGATTTTTCCACTCAACGCTTGCTGACACAACGTAAACATCACTTTGAGCCTGAATTAAGCCAAACGGGACGTTTTAAGCCTACTCCACACTTCAGCCATGGCAGCTGACATCCCGACAGCTCTGCATAAATTTCTTCACCACAGTAGAAAAACTTCGGATTTATTTGTTAGTTTTTTTCTTTTTAATTTCATTAATGAGGCTGTTAATTTCTATTAATGACTCTAATTTTATTGTTATTTTGCTGGAAATTTATCAGACATCGCGTTTCCCGTTTCGAGTGGATTCTTTGGGTTTTAAATTCTCAATAAACTTTTATATTAAAAAGGCATAGCATAAAACATCCAGAAAATACGTTTTAACTCAGTTTAACCTCTTTCTTTCATATTTGTAAACATATTTTTCAAACTATATGTAGACATTTTTTGCTTATCTTAAAACTTTTTGACTGAACATCTATTTTCATTACAACCTTTATGAGTTATCCACATGGTTCATCAGGAAAAGTAAAGAAAAGAAAAATGGATTCATTTTTATTAATGTGACTTTTAAAAACATTAATAAAAATAATCCACTCACAGACTCACAATCAGCGTCAGCTGCGTCACATTAATAAAATTTAATCCATTTTTTCTTTTCATTACTTTTCCAGAGGCAATTAAAAAAAAAAATTACAGCGCTCAAAGGAAGTTTTTCAAAACTCCATCGTGCAGAAAATTTAATTCAAAAAATATGTTATTAATCTAAAATTAGTAAAATTGTCTATAGATATTCTATTATTTCTAAATTTTCGTTCGCAAAAATAAACAAACACCTAAATATTTTACATTTTTTAATTTGAAAGATATCAAATTATTGTGGAAATAAATTTGCATAATTCTTTTAGTTTCAAAGATTTGTTTATTGGGTTCCATGCAGAGCAACTTTGCCCCATCTACTAGTTTTACGAGCCAAAATTAAAAAAAATATATGCGTTTCCTTTATTCATTATTAAATAAAAAAATCTAATCTCAATTAACTTGCAAATATCTAATATCAAATATTGTAGCTTAAAATACCTCTGCAAAAAAGCAAAAGCACCAGTCATGCACGATAATCTTTAGCTGCAGATTGAGCTATTTTGTCTTCTTTCAATGCAAATGACATGACATTACATTACTTAAAGTATGTCACCTAGGAAATTTCCTTTACAGATTAAAATACAAAGCAAGGAAATTACTTCCCGAGTTTGTCCTCGTTTCGCATAATTGGCAAAGCTTTTGAGTGCATCTGACCGCTTCTGGAAAACATCAATTTCCAGACTAGTTTTGCAATTTTATGCTCTTTATACTGTCGCAAAAACGGCTCAAAAGAGTCAAAAGCAATTTGCAGCGACTCGCAAAAAAAAATTCTTTGCGCTATACACAGTTCAATTAATTAACTATTGTAATTTAACATGAAGGAAAAATTTTAATTGATTAAAAGTTTAAAAATAATATAGCAGTTGTTTGTGTAATTGAATATCAAATCGTGAAAAAAGGGAAAAAATTCTTATTGTTAAGAAAATTTAACATTTAAAAATATCAAAATTAATAGATAATAAATCAATATTTAAAAATAAACAAATTTAAGTAGTGTAAGCGTTAAGAAAAGAGCAAGAACATTAACATTACACAAATATTCAAATAGATATAAACACATATAAAGACAGTGAAAATAGTGATGAAGTAATATAAGTGCAGGCAAAAAATATCACGAGGCATTGTTTGCTTTGTGTTTGTGAACCCTTGCCTTTTAAGTCAAAATCAGTGGAATATAAATTTGCATTCTATATTAATACCTTTGCATTACCCGGCGATACCCACTGTGCAGTTTGCGATTTGCAAATTCCAAAACTTTATTTTCTAAGCTAAATTATTATATTTAATCAACAAATTAATAGAGGAACCCTCTCTTTGCTAATTAATATTTGCGTACGTGCTTGGACATACAATTAATTTAATCTGCCCTTCCGAAACTTTTTATCTCGCGGCAAAACGTGCTGACAACAGACGGTTCCTCCCCTCAGCGCCGCGAGCAACCCTTGATATGGGGTTGCGCGCGAGCTAGGGGGCCAAGTTGCGTATTTCTAGTAGTACGTAGTATACGCGATTCAGTAGCACACAAGATGCAGTCGGCAAAAAAATCGATAAATTATAGCGTCACTTTCCATTTTGCTGCTCTAGCCGTGAACGCTTTTGATCAAGGTGCCGATTCTAACGCGCGCCAAAGGTCAACACACACTTTTAGTTCTTACTGACACTTTTTTAATGAGATTTGCAAGCACCTGCTGTTTTACAAATAAAATAAATTCGGCGTTGGCTGGCTGTGAAATTCGCTGCTGGACACCCAACGCCGGTCGAGAGATCATTCCAATATCGCGTTAGGGTTAATTTTAGTGCCGCCTCTTGCTTGCACACACTGGATGGTTAAAAATAATATTTGTCCGACGCGGCAGACTGCGTAAATATAAAATACTCATATTTCGGGTCCACATCTACTCTTACTCATCCAATTATACATAAAAAAAAATAATAATAAACCCGCTGATATATTATTTTCTGGATTTTTCAAAAATAAATTTTTGGTAAACTTTTTCGTTTGTAATTAAATTGTAAAAATTCACTTACAGAACAAATTTTAAATGATGCAAAAATGTTCTCCTAAATAATTACACATAATGCATGAATATGATAGGGATTTTCAGAGGAAAAAATAAACATTGCGATCTTACCTTGAGCAAATTAGTTGATCCAACTGCTTTTTGGCCTTGGATTCTTGTTCCCAAGACGATGAAGGAATGACTACTTAAAACGCGTGCTGTTGTTGACAAACAATCGGTGACTGGCCGCACGACCCGCACAGACCCGCAGTCACTAACACACGCTGATCCGATCCTGACTGGATCTCTTCACTCTCTAAAGTCCACGCTGCGCCTACGGCTCGATCGCGCTGCCTCACTACTTCACATCTTGGGGATCGCGAGTACCATGGGATGGCATAGGGGGTGAATTTAAAGAGAGTGGAGAAGACCCCTCGCGGACGGCTCTCTCCGCGTGCAGTATCTTTGTGACAGATGCGAGATACGCTCTCATTCGCATCCCTGCAAGCAGAAATAGTTATTAATGGTTAATGTAAATAATTATTCCGATTATTCCTAATTATTTATAAAAAAAATTACTAATAAAATAGATAAGAGTACACTTATTGAACACAAATAAATTGTACACTAAATAAAATGGAACTTTAAAATTTCTCTTAAAAAAAAAATGAGAAAATATGGTTTATTACCTCTCAGCTATATTATTCAATCTAGTTAGAGATTACATTTCTTAATTCAATTTCTTTCATAATTTTATTACATTGAAGATAATTATAATAATTGAATAAAAAGTTAAAAATGACCGCTAAGTTGCCATTTTCAGTTTAATTTTTTGCTTAACAATATTTTCTTTTATAGAATTAATTTGCAAAAAAAATACAAGAGTATAATTTATTTAAATCTTCAAGTGATTTTTTTATAATTATGATTTTAATTATATTTTCCTCTTCTAGTTGTTTGGGATTGAGTGATTAGGGTTAGTATGTAATAAGTTAAGAATGAGTATACAATTATTCGATTTATTTCCTATGGAGTTCAAAAAACTAAATACAAATTAGACTTTTTCATAAAAATTTCTCTTCTTCCAAATCCACTTATATTCAGGCTTGGGTGGTTTTCTTTGCCCAATTGTTGACTCGTCATAGTATGATTTGAATTTTTTCCATTGACCTCTTTTTTCAGGATCTTTCTTGCTGTAGGTGGGGTTTAAGTTGGACATCAGTCCTATAAACAAATTTTTTTACATAACAACTTAGTAAAACATATATTTTTAAATGATATTATTTTTGTAAGTTTCAGTTTCATTTAAAATATAAAATATTCATCAATCAAATGGATTTTTATTTTACCTGCTCTTTGGGCCATTGTGACCATTGTTCCTATCCTTTTTTGCTGTTTCCTACACAGCCCAGTAATTCGCCTTGGTAACATGCATCCATCAGGTCTCACAAATTGACTCAAAATCAAAACATCCTGCAGAATAAATAAATATATTTTTATTTTTTGCTGATAAGCATATTGTTCAAAAATTACTGCATGTAAATTTTCTGAAAGAGTTTAGTAAGAAGTTTACTCACCGTGTGCTTTACTTCTAATCCAAGGGAACAAATCGAGCACGAATTTGGATTTTCAGCCACCACTTTCAATACTTTATCAGCTTTTGGCAAGTCAACATAAACTCCTTCGATCGTGATGTTTTTCCCATCATTGACCTCCCGAACTGAAAGATGCATTGGTTAATTATTAGATATTAGATTAGAACTTTTAAATTGCAGAATAAATATTATGTTTATTACTACTATTACTCATGATTAATAATAATAATAACACTATGTAACAACAGTTTAAAACTTACTCTCTTTTAATCGATTTGCCGGCGACACTGAAAACGGTCTGAGGAATTTTATGGGGTACGATTCACACCTGGATGCAAGCGTCCCTAGTCGTGGAGCCAATTGGAATAATTTAAACATGGTCTAGAAGCAAATTTCTGCGGTGAAAATAAAGAATCGCGAACGCGAAACCAAACAAAGGACTCGGCCCACTCGGTTTCCAGGCTGGTGCCACACCTCCTTCGGCCCCTCTCGCAAATTAATGTACCAACTTAATAACGTTTTAACCAACCTAACAAACACAGGCGGCTAAAGATGATAGGGCCAGTGCGTACTGCGTAAATGGCTAAATGCGTATTAGCCGTGTCATGTGTCATATCATATATGTATTATATTCTAATCCAAATTCCATTTCTCATAAATACACCACCACCTCACCGCATCATACTAAATTAAAAAAAAAATATATATCAATCAAATTTTTTTTTCTATTTTTCCTTTTCACACTTTAATTATTGTTAAGTGTCTGATTTCTGATAAAATAAATTGAGTTTAAATGATAATATTCATTTTTCAATCATTCTCATGTTAATAAAAAATTATCATAGCTAGATAATATAATAAAGTCAGAGACGATGTTTATTATTACGTCTCAGAAAATGTTGCAACTTTTCAATGGAAAAGTCAAATTGTGCTAGATTTTTTTTTAATTTTAAGAATTTGAGAGCGTTTATATATAATTAAAATTTCTGTTCACTATATATAATTAAATCCAAACATTATCTTTTTGTATTGTAATGCAGAAACATTTATTACTTCAATTGATTGAATGAATATCATTAAAACAGCACTCACTTCTGTTAAACTTGTACAAAAACACTCATTTTCTAATGAGGTTATAGGGGGCTGATCTTTTGGTAATTTTTCTATTTTTGTTAAAAGCTTCACAAGTTAATGCACTGCACATTTAATTTGACAGCAAGTAGCAATGCCATAAAACACCAATCGAGATATTCATATATTTTTAAAATGTCATCATAATGAGAGTCAACATCATCACAGTATCAAAAAGAATTTAAAGTTTTTGCCAGAAGTTAAAAATAATTAATGAAATTCCACCCTTGAACTCACTGATAAGAAAATATTATTACCGAGAAAAAAAATCAAACTGCACCAGCATGTGCAATTGTATTTGCATAGCAATGGTAGTTGTGGTGCATTTCAACTCAACCCTGTAACGCAAAACGGCCAAGTCAGAAAGTAATCAACAATAAGAATATTTGGTCTGTCTGTAAGGCGTGAATACACATATAATAGTAGACCATCATTGTCAGTGATATCCTCAAGATCGTGAATTATATTTCATAATTGCATTTCAACAACCATTCTACGAAAATAAATAAAAATAATATTAAATGTGCAAAGAATTGATTTTTCATTCTTATTAAATGCACCATAGGATGCCTCAAAATAAGGTAAAGCTAAAGTAAGAAAAAATTATTTCAAAAAATTATACAGAAAGTACAACGTTATACTATTTTCACAGATATTCTATCAAGGTTTTGCATAACTGAAAAAAATCAGCACTCCAACAACCCTCTCTCTTTTTGCTAATTTTCCAAATCTTTTTTTTTTTATATCACATTTTTTTTAAACCCCTGCAACCTCAGATCTGCATGTTGTGTTTTGTGGGGATTGCTGCTATCACTATCAAGACAATCCTCTTCCAAACCATCCACTTTCATTTTTTCAGTCTTTTGTCAGTCCTTAAGTTTCGCCGCCGTGTCATGATTCCTCGTCATCCTCCTGGCGACGCAAAATCCATGCTCACAAAATTACGCAGCAACGACAGTAGCGTTGTCGTGTCGCACCAGAAGCAGGCGGTGGGGTTACTGGGGCAAAGTAGGCATGCACCTTGATGTTAGGCAAATGGTTCTGTAAATTAAAATACTTGTAAAAATTCTAGTTAGATAATTCTACTGTGACGCACTCTTAGTCTTCGGATCCCAGCTCGAGTGATGAGCTGGCAGTCGTACAGTTCAATCCTCTGCAGATTGTAACATGAAATTAAGTGATCCAATGAGGCATCTGTGATGAATGGGCAATTGTCTAGTTCCAAAACAGTGAGATTTTCAGCTGCACATTGGGAGGTGCTCAAATGCCTTATGCCTTCGTCAGTGATCAACTCACAATGCGACAGACTCTGCAAAATTAATTAAAAATTAATAACATGTTTCAGTATAAAAGACTATTAAAACTAAATATAAATATAACTTACTAATTTCTCAAGGCGAGCACAATTCATTGCCAAGTGTATAATTGTAGCGTCCGTTATTAATGAGCACTCCTCGAGGTCCATTTTTTCCATTAAATGGCAACTCTGAGAAAAAATAATACATTAAATTAAATCATTTGAAAAAGCGTGCAAATTAATTTACTCTTGCCAATGCCTGGAACCCTGCATCTGTGAACTGGGAACAGCTGGCCACCTCTAATGTGCTGAGAGATTGGCAATGCTGAGCCAAATTCATCAGAGATGTGTCTGTCAAATTGGAACATCCGGACAAACAGAGATATCGGATATTCAAACAACTCTCTGCCAGGTGTTGGACAGATTCATCTGTCAAAGTCTGCATACATTTAAAATAATTTTTAATAAAAATATTTAATGATTATTTATAAATCAAAACTTACAGAACAAGAGTGCAAATTTATGACCTCTAAATTTGGGCAAAAACGGGCCAAACTAGAGACGGCTCTGTCGTTAATATGAGGACATCCTTTGGAGATGAAAAACTTGAGTTTCCTGCAGCCTCTACTCAAAGCTTCCACTCCTATTTAAAAAGAAAAACTATAGCATCCACTTCACTTAAAATTTCACACTACTGCACCATTATCAGAGATTTGGTCACACCACGAAATGTCGATGTAAGTAAGTTGGTGGCACCCATCGGCTAAGTCTTTAAGAGACTGGTCTGTGATGGCTGAGCATGAATTGATGTTGAGGCGTTGAAGTTTTGGGCAGTGTCGGCTAAGTGACTGGCATGTACTGCAAAGACGATGCAATTTTAATGAAGTATAAAAAAAAATTCAATAAGGCACGTCACTTTAAAAGGCGCCAATTTAACTTCAGTTGGTATTTACATTTTATTTTTAGCCCTAACTGAAAATTTTACAGATGTGTGTACCTGTCCGTGATTTTCTTGCAGTCGTTCAGGTTAAGCTCCTCAATATTATTGCATTGCTGGGCAAAAGTCCTGAGTGAACCATCAACCACCGACTGACAGCCCCGGAGGCTTAGCTTTTTTAGGAAGCCGCCGCATCTCCGAGCAATGTTTTCCACGACAATCCCCTAAGCAAAACACATGTTTTTTTTTCTTATTTCCTGAAATAAAAAAATTTACCTCAACATCTGTTTGAAAGTCAAACAAGTCTATCCTTTGCCAATTCATTCCATCCAAAGCCAGTTCGTTCCAAAGTTTGGACACTTGAGCGCATCTGCACAGTGAAACCACGTCCAAGTACGAAAAGATCCTGAATTTTCATTTATATAGTTTTAAGGTTTTCTTTTAGAAATTTGCAAAAACCAGACCTGAGAATCAATTCTTTGGGTAATTTTTTGTTGATCATTGCTTCTTCGTCTAAAAAAACACGTGTAAGCTGAAATTAAACGGATTCAAAATTAGAGTGATCGGATGCATGTGCATTTTACTGTTTAGATTTTATCAAACCACTATACTTATTTACTTATGGAATTAAATAAACCAGGAGATATAATTAATAATAGATAGATGCAAGAGTAGTAAAAGGGATTTGTGCAAGAAATCCCTTCATCCGCTATGACTGCAGGTTTTATAGAATAAGCAACTTGGTGAGGCTACACGTGCATGCTGCTGACCTATTAAAGCGCGTGGGGCTGTCTGCCCTATTTTCCATCCTAGCATCTTTTGCTCGCTCTTTATCCTGAGTAATCATCTATATAGCGCTCTATTGACACACTTTGGAGCTTGTGTGTTGATAAATATATTGCAGGTCATTACAGTAAAATTTATTATTATAAAATAAATAAAAGTAGGTAAAATAAAATGCAAGTAAATATAATACTGAAAAATTGTCAGCGCTCATCGTTCAAATACAGCTAAAATAATTTTGTTTTGAAATATAATCAAAATTAAATATTATGAAATTGTTTTTATTTTTCAATACCATGTGATGATGTGATATAATTTGTTTGTGCTTGAAAAGATGATTAAAAATTATTGAAAATAAATCATTTATTTTTGGACCTCATAAAACGGATACAAAACGTTTAAAAATTGGCAAAGCAAAAATTTAAGGCAATTTTTCTTAATTTGAAGGGGAATTTTGTTTCAATAGATTTTCATAAGATACTCTTTTGTTTCCTTGTAAAGTTCTGTGAAAAAAATTAAATACATGTTTCATGATGGGGCTGCAGCAAGCGAGATAAAAGTGTGCAAATTGGGTTGCACAATTTCCCTTTCGTTTCGGGTCACGCGCCCACCCACCGCTGGGGTGGCTTTTAACACCAATGACAACGATTAAAACCTCAGGGTTCAGGGTGAGGATGACTAACCTGAATATAGTTTTGCTTCATAGTCGAAAAGCCGTGATCCTTTTTGCGTCCCAGAGATGGGATCCACCAGGGCTTCACCTACAAGAGTGGGAAATGCATCATGGAAAAGCTGAAAGAGGGAAAAGCAGTGCAGCTGGCGTGTTGCATTTATTGCGCAAGACAATTTCTCAAAGTAAAAATGAGAACACCCTACAACCAGAATGCACACGGATGGCAAAAAAGGGAGAGCGCGCAGAGGAGAGAGTGCAGTGCAGCCCCAGCTACTGCGCCCTGCGCACTTACCATAGGTGAATCGGGTGGTGAAGAATGCACCTCCTGCTGGACACCGTCACTGAAACACAGCCCCAGAATCCAAGGGTCAAACGCGTGTCACAAGCACGTCCTCGATATAAGCGTTGTTAAAAAAACCCACCCCCGGATGTAGGAGCTACAAAGCGCTCAAAAAAGAATAAAGGGCCGCTCCGTATCGCGGACTAAGGACACCGACTTAGGTGCAATGCACTGCGGAAGATGTGCATATTAGCATATAAGGAGATGCAATCAACGGGATATATTTCCATGCAAACAACTCGCGAGCAATGAATTACACATACATACTCACTCGATTGATAACAACAACAATAAACACCAATGAGCGACGTCGGTCCGGGCAAGTGCACGGCCCCGTCCTGCGATCCGCGGTGTCTCAACCCTTCCGCCGCTCGTTCCCTGCGCGCCTCAGACTGGACCTCGGCGCATTAGAGGCTGGAAAAGCGGCGGACGGCCGCTACTGTCACCTTCGTCTAGGTCTAAACAAAATCAGCTGGTCGGGGAATGATGGCTGACGACCTACTTCAATGGAGGCACGGGGTCTTTAAACAGGATCGAGTGGCCCTTTAAAAATGGCAACTCACGTCGCCTCGTTCGCAAGCTCCCTTACGCTGTTGCTACGTGCCTTGATTCTATGCAATAAAAATTCCTCTGATCCATAATGGAAATAATTAAAAAAAAAAACCAACAAGATATTTAATTATTTTTCTTATAATTATTATTTTTGTAAATTTAAGCTTTGTAATATTTTTTTATCTTTATGTAATATTATTTATTTAATTAACTAAAATTCTTGCTTTGTATCAAGCATACTCAACGTTTTTTTGTGTTAATTAATACATTTATTTGCAGGAAAGATAACACATCATTACAATCCATCAAAACAAGGTTCAAAATAGTACTTAATTTAAAACTACCAGCTAATTATGATTATTAAATGATTATAAGCAGAGAATACCATTTCGATACGGATATGAACAATAATTAAAATTAATGCTTTTTGTCAACGTAATATTTTTTTACTTTGTAGCTTCATAACGGATTATTAGTTTCTGAGTCAAGTCAATCTGATTTTCTGGAATGGATCACGGAGGCTGTTATTTCACTAGAGCGGAATCAGTTCAAATGAAAAAAAGTAGATCAATTTTGACTTGCCCCCAGTTGACATCAACCAGAATTAGACAGCAAGGTAAATTTTTCCTGCCAAATCATCTCCTTTAATTAAATTTTGATCATATAGAGAACTAGCATAATTGAACACTACATTTTTTTTTTACATTTCATTAGATTTTTAACTTTTTTTGTAATTTTTGTTATTTTAATAAATGGTCTTGCCCTTAAATACAGAGGGAAGAAGGCTACGAGAAAAGCAAAGAGTGTGGCAAGACGATGATTTTAAAATTGGAAAAAATACCCTCACCCACCACGACAGTAAACTACGCGTTAATTTAAATTGAAATAAGTGCCAATCGTCGTTATAAAAGTTGAATATAGATCGTCTTTGCCACGTGCCACACAAGTTGAATTTCTCACAGCCCCACTCAGCATGGGGAAACTGATTTGAGTGCCATTCGCATTGAAACAGGAGCCGACGAAATGGCCTGGAATTGCTGGAGCAGCTTTTACTTTACTCGCGCATCAAAGCTCTCTGGAGCTCATCATAACAAGCAATTCCGCACAAACTTTGCACAAGTTAAAATGCTGAATTGCTGGAAAAGTAAAGTAAAAGTCTCCATGATGGTATTCATCCCTGAGTGCCACTGATGAACTCGTTTCTTGTGGTTTTTCTTTTAAGTAAATCTTGCATTTTTAACACTAAGTACTTAACTCTAGTCTTTCGTCTGATAAAAGCATTGAGAAGTTGCATAGAAAATGGGGCAGTGTTCTGGCGGATGGAATTTTACCCAGATGCAAAACGAGTTACAACAGTGGCACTTGAAGGCCACTCGTTTAGATGTTAATTAAGGCTGCTTATTCGATGGAGTAGTACATGTAGAGGTTGCTTTCGATGCTGGCTGGTACCAATTCGTGATCTGGTGGTAGAACTTGGAATCCCAGGAACATGAAAGTGCGAACCAAAAGGGCTGAAAGCAACCATTAACATAAATATAATTCTATTCTAAATTATAAAATATTTAATAGGCTATACCTCGGTCGGTTCGGTCCTTCTTGAGGCACAAGATGATGCTCTTGCACTGCAGCACGTCTTCTGCGTACTCCAAGATTGACACGAAACCTTCCTTGGACCCCTCAGGCAACAGGCAGCTCGGCACTTGCAGGTACAGACGTCCCTGCCACAGCACCGACTCCCAGCGCACCTCCGTATTCTGGGCCAGGTGAAGCACGAAAGTCAGCCGCACACTGCCCTGTTCTGCACCACCGTGGCGGCGGCCAAGCTCCTCCTTTGGAAATCAGATTTTAATATTTCGCAAATTTTAAAAATTGAAAAAAAATTACCTGCACGGCATTCTGGTGGCTCACAGAGAGCTCTTTTGGTTTCCCCACACCGCTGCCCTCTGTGTTGAAAGGCGAAGACGGCGTGACGCAGGCGGCGTGGGGGACATCAGGACCACCACCGAGGCCCGCCGCCCAGAGTTATGGAAAAGTGGCGGGGTTCAGGTTGGCTGCAACACAAAATGCATTTTCCGGCTTAGATACAATATTCTCATTGTAGAATTGAAAAATAAGAATGTGTGTATATTGGCACTCGGTGGCCACGTGATCTTGAACTTCAACAAGGTCTGGCGTCTTTGTAACAAGAGCAACAAGAATAGCGTCAAAATAAATATTTAACATAGCCCGGTGTCTGCTGGCATGACATTCGGAGAGGACAAAGTCGAAATAGCTTTACATGTTCGTTGACAGGTATTCGCCACTGGTCTTGATAAAGTACCCACTGGCCACTGAATTATTCAGGGAATTAGAAATTCTCTTGGAATGAGAAGCTTTTCAAGTATAATAAGTATTATTTAATTTACAATAGTATTATTATATAAGCAATTTTTATTTTAATAAATTTTGAAGACTTAGAATTTTTTATTAAACGCTTTTAATTATTTTTTTTATTTACACGATAACGCTTTGCTAAACAGAAATGCACTGAAACTAATACAGAGGAAATTGTCACATAAACATGGCTGATTATTATTATCTGAGGTTTCTGCTGGACTAGTTTTTCTTTTATTCTGCAATTTTAAGTGCAACAACAACAAGTAGAAGCAATCACACAGCTCCTCTAATTAAGAAACTATTGCTCAATTTAGCAACATTAGCCTTAATGAGTGAGTCTTTTGATTGTCTGATGCGCATTTTGTCAGATAAGAATGTCCAACACTTGACTCATTATTGACCGTTCTGCACGTGTTTTCGATAAACACAAAGGAAGGCACAGGGTTCGAAATTGATACGTACTTGTCCAACGGAGCGTAATTTATATTATTGACGTTCATGGCACTTGGTGCTGGCATTTTGCTGCTTGTGCGGCAACAATCGGGTTCAGAAAGACTTGCTGGTGGGTTTTTTTTCTAAACTTGTGTCGTCACAAAAAGATGATTGTGAGATCAACGCGAGATTAGATAAAAAGAATTTTCCTCAAGGCGCGAGCACTTTGAATTCAAAATTCAATTGGGGTGAAAAAGAGCCGGATCGCAGGTTGTGTCCGAGCTGGCGAACACCATCCTAAGCACTGAGGCAGGCCTGCGCCAGTCTTTTTATAAATAAACCAAGCAAGTGACATCACCACACAACAAGATGATCGGTGTTTGTGCGCGAGAAAGAGAGAGAGAGCCTTGCTCTTTCTCCAACCCCCAGAATAGATGGACCCCGCACGCGATTTTCAGCACCTTCTGCTGCAATTGGTGCGCGCTACTTGTGAAATTGCTTGGCCATAAACGCGCGCGAGCCGTGTTTTGGGTTAATTGAAGTGGGTTTCCTTTCTCAAAAATAGCAGGGGCTTTGTCAAAGTCAAAAACAAAGAGACTTTGCCACACCATCTGCTCTGCATAATAAATTGATGATGGCTCAAGGACGAACTCGAACCGTTCAAGGTGGATGCCGCCGCTTTGCTCTCTGTCCTAAGATAAGCCCAACTAAAATATTACTGATTAAATGTTTTTTTGGTTAAAAAGAAATTAATAAGATCAGTATAAGTAGAAATTACAATTGAGATTTGATTAAATAAATTTCCTTACTTCAAATCAATCTTTCTCGGCTGATCCATGATCGATAAAATAAGTCCGTGCATGATTCTCAGAAAAGCGGTGGTTCTCCTTCAGCATTCCCTTTGGAACTGACCCTGTCTTTCGAATAAAAAGCAAACGATTCAGAGGTCTGCAGACCAATAGGAAGGCCTCATCGTTGCACTTTGGACTGAATGCGGCCGGCGATTCGGGAGCATTTTCGGCATTATTTATCAAAAGTTTACTCAGTGAATCACAGCCCCAGAATGGAAAATTCCAAGCGAGCTAACAAAGCTCGCAAATACACAGGATGACGCTAGTGCCGGGATAACAGCTTGGCAAAGAGAGCTGCGATTTCACGTGCCCTCCTTGTTTATACACATAGAAACTGGTTTAGCTCTAAACAAGAGAGGAAAAGCCACCAGCACTTGTGTGCTCATTTGCCTATGATTTTTTTTTATAGTTCCCACCACCCAATTACTCCACTTACTTGATTTTTTCCTGCCAAGAAATGATTTCTTAAAATACAATTAAAATTAAGAAATTGTGAAAAAAAATATTTTCTGTTCAATTGAAATTATTGATTAAATTTTTTTTCAGTCGGAAACTCAACAATAATTTTTTTTCCTTGGATCGGCACAAAAATTTAGGCCGAGTGGAAACGTTTCCTGTGTAACTAATTGACATATTTTTTTTCTAGATTTCATCATTGCGGCCAGTGGAATCTTTCATCAAATGTTCAAAATAGCTGACCATTAGAGCTAATAGTCGCACCGTTATACGCAGTTGGCACGAAATTCGTTTATTATAACTATGCAATAAAAAAAAATAAAAAAAAAAATAGCGATAAAAGTCGATTTAAAAGCGTTGACCACTTTCTACTTCGATAAGGCCAATTAAATTGTTGTCCCCGGCACCGCACATTATCTTGTGGTAACAATACTGCGCCTACACGTCTGGGACTTTTCCAGCAACTGATAAGGGACGACGCTTTGCATGCGTGTCCGGCCACGTCGAGAACCTTCTTTAATATGGGGAATGCAGTTTAAAAATTCAAGTGAATTCCATATTAACTTTGAAAGTATGACCAATTTAAACCAAGCTGCCAAGTGCTTGGTGAGGAAAATTAAAAGTTTTCAAAAACACAATAAGAGCTGTTTGCAAAAAAAAATTGCATTTTATTTTGCAACTTAATGTGGTTTTGAAATACTTGACTCGCCGTTATCTGAATAATCTGACAACGAAAACAAAATCTAGAGGGGCATGGCTTATTTCTATAATGCCTTTTGTCCCCGAAAACTACCAAGGGACTTTCATCATAAATCAATTTCATGAGACTTAAACATGCCACATTGGTCATATCAATTCCAAAAGTGGTGAAATGTCAGATTTTTCCAGGTTTTTCATGATTTTATAGGCTTCAAAATAAAATGAAAATAAAAATTCAGTCAAAACGTAAATTAATATGTACAATAAATTTTCATCTCCAGTCCTAGTATCAAATTATAACATTTTAAATTTAACTAAAAAAGCTTTTCAAATTATAAATGAAACAGCAAAATTCGTTATCGCTTTGGTGCAAAATTACAGGGAATTACGTCACTGGCTGCGGCTCGCGCATTCCAATAACTCGGGGTGGCAAATATTGTTGCTAGGGGCTGGTGGGGCCGTTTGTTATAATTACATCGGAACACACCACCGCGCGCGCCAGAGCCGCAACCTTGTCGGCCACCGCGCCAGCTCAGCGCTTGCAATAAATTAGCCGAGGAAAAACACGCGACAAAACGGCCAAATTGAATTACGACGGCCCCGCTCGCTCGCAACGTTCAAACCTATCGGAAGAAAGCGACTTTCAATTAGCGAATTTGGGTCTGTTTTGGTTGTGATTTGTCAATCGGCGCAGAGACAGAGCAAAGACCTTTAAAAAGCGCGCAAATCGAAATTTGGGTCCGGTCCAAAATGCGCAACGTGCCGTTTAGTCTCTTAAAATCCGTCGAGCTTCCCTCATGTCCGAGTGGATGCGTCTATTTATTGTTAGAAGCGACTACTCATGCCAAAGACTTTTCTTTTTCTGTCATGTTAACGTCATCTTTTTCTAAAAACGTAATCCAACATTGGCAGTTGTCCACATGAATAAAACCTACGTCAATATGAATTGATCCAATCAATTTAATTGAATTCCACTTTCATAACGAGAAATTTTTCGTTTTAATTACCATGGTAAACATATTACTGTAAATTAAATTTTGTTCGTGAATTTATAATAATAATTTGTAAAAATTGTCAATTTATATCTTGTACTTTTCAAGTTAAATATTAATTTTTTTTTTCAAAATTCCGAAAAATCCTTTTTTCTAAGTAGTTTTTATTTTCCCAGACGCCCAGACCACAAAGAAGTGTGTATAGGAGGCAAAAAATATTTATTTTAGCTTTATTGGTGTGTTGAAATATTATTGAAATTTTGCAGTGGAGACCGTGAACCCTTTCAAATGAATACAAACGATAGAATAGGCCTTGAAGAATTTAAACCAGATTAAATTAGCTTCATGTTCCTGATAAATCCAAATCATTTCAAGGTAAAAAAATCGCCACTTTCTTGAAGCACTAAATATGATTCATTTTTTTCAGGAAAAATTATGTAAAATGTGACTGAATTCGAAAATGCCTAATTGACAAATTAATCGGAAACTTTACAACATTTGGATAATTATCTAAAAAGAGTGTAAGCACTTGAGTTCAAGATCTTGTTGATGTTTACGAAAACGTCAGAGAGCCAAAATAAATAGCGAGTCCTCGATTAACTTGGTGATAGTGAAAAGCTACATTGTCGAGAAATGCAGCGATGCACTTTCCTGCCAATGCAGGTCGACGTCGAGAATGTTCTAGTTTACGCATCCATCCGCATGCGTTCTCTCCTTATGAGGAAAATAATTCGAGGCGAAATTATTGCCTCACGATAAAACGACCATATGATATTCAGAACTTGAAAATAATTTTAAACTTTGTCCTTCCGAAATCGCAAGCAAATTAATCGAAGTGTTGGCAGCATAATATGCACTTGGACACAGCTGCTGGTAGAATTAATTTAGGTACGACCTGTACCTGAAAAAACTAAAGAGAGATGAAAAAGAAGGTAACTTACCTATTGGAAATCAACCCTGGCATGGCTTCTAAATCAAGTTCTTTGTAACTGGAATTACTTTGAAAGGCCAAACAGGCACTATTACTCATAATTTCTACGTAAAGAAAGACTTCTCAGGCGCCCTTCGACCTTAGAAAATGACATGCATACACCAGAAGTGACGAGTCTTGAATTTGTAGCCTTTCCTTCTCGTAATGGCGATTGCTCTCCTTATCTCTTCGCTATTCGGTTTACGCAACGCAGATGGCACCACCTCCGGCACAGCAACAATCGACCCGTCCAATGTGCGCACCCGCTCTTCGCTCGCCGCCTCTGATTGGTGCACGCTCAAAATTTACCTGCTTTCCCCGCTAAAACCACGCGCATCTACATGACTAACAATTGAAACAATTTGCTTAGATTTTTATCAAAACTCTTCCGAACAATTTATAATTGCAATGATAAATAAACGTTGCAAAGTAGACAAAAATCATAGATGTAAAATTCAATCAAAGAAATTTTATTTTGGCTGTTCTTTTTGCTTAGAGTTTTTAAATGTACATAATTATATATTAAATTCATTCAATGAATTATTAATTCATTCCATGGCCTCCACTCGCCTTTCTTAGAATCCTAATATATCCGCTTTCTTTTGTGTACTTCTTTTGCAATTGTGCAGTGAAAATAAATGTATAATGTGTACTGAAAATTCTTAGTAAATAAATTATTTTAGATATTAAAGATGTGAGTGGTCCCCTTAATTCTGATTTTTTTTTTATAGAAATTAGCGAAAATTAATTCTAATATTTTAAAATTTCCTCAATCTCTAATTTTTAATTATACTTTTAACAGGCTTTTTCAGAATTCTATAAAAATGTTTTCTGTGTTATCTGCTGAGAATAAAAATTAACAATTCTAATAAAATAGAAATATATTAGAATTTATTAATTGTGGACATCAAATTAGTTCAAATTTTAAAGTCACTAACTAAGCAGAATTTTTGCCTCAATATATTTCTTTGCAGTGGAATGATTTATGATTTTATGACCGCTGCAGCTCTTGACCTACTCCACCATTAGCCAATGGAATAAATAATTGATGCGATTATAATCACCCAATTAATTTGCGATTAACGATAACAGTGCCCCCAGCTAATTTTTGCTCCCATATTGCAGGCAGGTCAATATACATATAGCGCGCCAACGTGTGTTTTATTTTGCTCATCTATTATGCACCAAAATTGCTTTGTCGATTTTCCGCAGCCAAATGTCATGTACGTGCAGTCTCTCATTGCCGTAGAGTTAGTGCTTGGTGGTGTCAACCTGAGCAACAAACATGCCATTTTCTCCAACACTGAATTTCACTCTAGCCACAATTATATTTTTCACATGCGAGACTAATGGAAAAGTTGCGTCGCAAAAAGATTTGTTGCCGGCCTACTCGTCTGTAAAAAATCTGACTTGGATAGAAATTTTTCGGCAAACAGAAAATTATTCCGAAATTTCTCAACGACGAAGCACAGTTTTGCCAAAAAGGAAGATGTTTCCGTTGCACTTGCTGGTTCCAAAGGTTGCAAAAAACAGCTTGTTGATGGCTAGCCCAAATATAGGCCACGTGGAATTCACGGATGTGGAAGGTAAGATTTTTCCTATTCTATATATTTTTTGTTGTTCACGATAAAAACCAATAGCGCGCAACACCACGCATCCCACGCATCCCACGCAACACGACATGAACAAGAACAAGCGATCCACTAAAGTTTATGTTCAACCCGTTCAACATGCTAAAGAACCAAATGAAAAGGGAAAACACGAGGGAAATGAAAAGGAAAACCAGCAGGGAAATGTAAAAGGGAACGAAATGGCAGATATTCGCCTGATTGGGTGGAAATGGCAAGATGTGGGGGTGTTTATTACCTTTGCAATTTTTGTTTTCACAGTGGGTTATGCTAAAGTTGGTATGAACTTATATTCAATTATATAAATTTGAAATTTTAAATAAATAACCTCCAGCTTTTCACCACACTCACTTCTTAGAAGCATATTTGCCAGAGTCTTTGTAAGTTTAAAAATTTAATGGAAATTTTTACCAATTTTTTATAACTTTAAAAAATTACACATTTTTCTATTTAGCTTAATGCTTGCCCTTGGCGCAGCTGTTGGATTCATATTATAGTAGGTGTTAATAATAATAAAAATATGTTAAATTTTTTTGATGTTGTTATAGTGAGCAAAATTGTTTTAAAGTGAGGTAATATGTTTTTTGATTGTTTGCTTTTTTTAATTCACTGAAACTGTGTGAAATAACTTCATTATTAAGAACTGGTGAAAACCAAAACGAAAATTTAAAACATATCAATTAAGATATAATAATTTCTTTTCTTCTTTCTTGAATCTTAAAAATCTGTTATAATTTCGTAAAAGTAAAAAGGAACTCTGTAAATTAGGGCACAACGTGATTTTCCAATTTCTAATTTAGTTTATAAGTAAAATCGTAAAATATTGTCATGAGATCTATCTATCGCAGCGTCCTAGGCTACCGCATGCCACTGGATTTGGACACAGAAAAAGCCGCACCGTCAGCGCCAACTGGATACCAATTTTACCATTACAAAAATCAAGCACAACAATCGACCACCGAGACTCCTGAGAGTCCTGAAAGTACGGACGATGAGTTTTCTTTTCCTCACTTTTCGCCTAAGCTTTACTTTTTAATATTGATTCCTCCGTAAGTTTCTCAACAATTGACAAGAAGATTACACGTCGTGTATAAATATCCATAATAATTTTAATTTTTTCCAGAATAATTTTGGAGCAGTCATATGCACTTTATGATTCAGAGTTTTCAGAGAGCCTCTATCCTATCCTACTATTTTCAATATTGGTATGTATATTTTTACATACAATTTTTTTTTCATAACAAAATATTTATATTATTTAATAACACATTCATTCACGCAATGCTGCTTCAGGGAAAATTGATCAGTACTTCTTCGATTGGTGAGTTTAAAAAAATAGTAACAATATTATGAAACTATTTACCGTTACCATATTCAAATCCTATCATTTCAGGACTGATCCTACACGCGCTCTCTTATTACAAAGCGATGCCGCCGCTCCCGTCAAAGGGAAACGATCAACAGTGGCTTCATTTGACAGACAGCCTTGTTTTCGCCTCAATTATATCTGCAGTCGATCCAGTTCCAGTTTTAGGGTTGCTGCACGAAGCAGGTGTCAACAAGCACCTTTATTTCCTAATTTTTGGTGAATCTTTATTGAATGGTAAAAGAAAAGAATTGCAAGTTTTTTTATATACTAAAGCGCAGGCGTTTTACAGACGCCGTCTCAGTCTCATTGTACAGTTCTATGGTTGCATTCACGGGACCTGTCAAAGTCCTAGAATCTCAGTATGGAATGGCAGTTTTGGCGTTTATAATCAAAAGTTTAGGAGGACTTTTGATTGGCGTGATTTTTGGACTTATCTCGGCGCTTGCGGCAAGAACTACCGAACATCACAGAAGTAAAGAAATTTAATTTCCTGTTGCTCGATAAAAACCCCACAGCTGTCAATTCTAATTCGGCTCATTTTAAAATAGCTGTTGAGCCGCTGACTTTACTAGGATTGGCTTACATTTCATATTTAGTAGCCGAGGTCATTCAATTTTCCGGACACATATGGTAATACGACATAAATGACTTTTTTTGAACAATTATCAAATTGGAATAATGAAATGATAAATTGATTGTTAATTTCCAGTTTGATATGTTGCGGCCTGTTGCAAGCGCATTATGCTTTTCAGAATATTTCTTTCACTTCGTACAACTCAATAATTCATTTTATAAAAATGCTAAGGTACTTTTTATGACATTTTTTTAAGCACAAACGATATAAATTTTTTTCTCTTTAGTTCAACTAGTGACGCCATAATTTTAATGTTTCTTGGAATGGCCATGATAAATTACTCACACGTTTGGCACACAAGCTTCATTCTTTGGACGCTCCTACTTTGTTTTGTGTGTCGATTTTTTGGAGTCTACATTCTAGCTATGTTTCATAATTTAACTAGCTCCAGGTGGATTAATTTCCGCGATCAAACGATTTTGGCCTACTGTGGTTTAAGGGGCGCCCTTTGCCTTTGCCTAGCCCATATGCTAAACGACTCCAGAGTTCCACAAAAATCACTGTTTGTCACAACAACTTTGGTCGTAATATTATTTACGACACTAGTCCAAGTTCAGTTAATCATTGTTTACGTTAATTGGCTTTTAACTTTTTTATTTTAAATTTTAAGGGAGGAACTGCACAACTTTTGTTGCGCTGCCTGTGCATTAAAAGACAAAACGACGAGAGCGAAACATTGAATGAGGGGATTGCTAATTCCGTATTCAGCCTTGCACTATGTGGCATTGAATCCATCACAGAAACAAAAGGAAACGGATACATAAAAGTATTTATCTATAATACAAAAATATTAAACTACTCACACATATTGCTAATAAACATTTTCTCCCTATTAGAGAACACTTGAAAAATTTGAAGAAACGTACTTGAAGAAAATATTTTTGTCAAGAAACGCTGACCACGAATTGCAGAGGATGTTCCAAAGACTAGTTTTAGAGTAAATATTTTTATATATTTATTATTAGTTAAGATATTATTTTTATTATTTTTTCCTCTAAATCCACCATTAATCCAAATCATTTAAATTGTGTGCAGGGGCCATATCTCTAGCAGAGTTCCGTCTGGAAAGGTAAAAAGTAGATACGAAACTAAGGTGTTACGTGGAAAACCGGATGGAAAACTGCGATTTTATCCCAACACAAAACCTTGGGAGCAATTACGTAGAATAGACCAGCATAGACCGTTCAGAGTGGTGGATAATTACCTTGATTAATAAAATAAAATTATAAATAATATATTCCATTTGAATTACAGGAGAGACGAAAGAATAAAAAAATAAAAGAGGAACAACACAACTTTAAAATCATGCATGAGCATTTTGACGAAATTCATCATCGAGGGCCAATTTTGATAGGTAAACTTTCAACTTCAAAATTAAGCTACAAATTGGTCATATTTCCTGTGTAGAGTTGCACGATGCCATTCCACCATCTGACTTAAATCAGGGCAGGAAATTGTACCTGGCGCGTGTTCGGAAAACTTCAGCAGAAGAGAGATTACGGGAGAAAATAACAGAGCATTTGCAAAATATAGAAATCCCACTAGTTAGAGAAGCATTTGTAGAAAATTGAAAGATTAGCTTTTTCATTACTTTATGCAACATGTACGAGATAAAATGTTTAATATGCAAAATAATGTATAATATATTTTTTTCATATATTACACAAAATTTAAAAAAAAAATTGATTTTTAGAATATTAACTCGTTCTTGTTGATGATTAAATTTGTGATTTTAAAATGCAACTATTGCTCAATGATGTGGGGTTTGAGGAATTTTTTTGCTCGTATAACCAATTCCATAATTATATCTTCTCTGTTTGGTTTACGCAACGCAGATTGGGCCAACAGCCAACTCCTGCACATATAGCAACAATCAACCCGTCTAATGTCGTCACTTGGCGCCTTTGATAAGTTGGACGCTCAAAATTTGCCTTGTTTCCCCGCAAAAATCACGCTTACAACAGGCTGGCTTGAAATAATGTCATTTTGTAAGTTAAATTAGCAAATGATTAAACGTTTGTATATCATAACATTTCCAAGAACGTATTATAAAGACAAAAAATTTAGTGGTGAAAATTTTGTTCAATCGTTATTATTATTTATTCTTCTGGGTCGTAGAATTTATTAATTTTATTTTTAGTATAAGAATCACTAATTGTACGACAGCTCTTCAGTTAATTCTTTTAGTTTATTTCGTTTCTTGGCTTCTGCTTGCTCTTTTAAGAATCCTCAAAAACGCTCTGGCTGGTTACTAATTTCTTTGATGAACTTTCTAGCAGTATATAGTGGATAACATAAAAGGCCGTTAAAGTGAAAAAAATTATTGGAAAATTAAAATAACGACGTGCATGAGCTAAGTCTATAATTTGTTTTAATTGATATTTTTATTTATTAAAAAATTGAACTCAGATTATTTTAATCTGTTTCAATTTACAGTCTTTTATATTTCATTAGTCATTGGGAATGATGGAATGATTCTTCTGAATTTTAAAACATTCAATTGAAAACTTTTCAGTAGAATAAAAAAAAAATGTAATTCCAACAAAAAATAATTTACTAGAATTATATGTGTATATATTTTTCAACAATCTGAATCAGCAAATTTTATGTTTCAATATTGCACAATATTCCTGAATAGTCATCCAATGTTTAACTTATTAACAATATTCAACAATAATATTTGGGAAAATTAAAATAATTTCATTACTGATTGAGATATTTAGCGATATTTAGTAATTATTTTTTTATTAGAATGTAGACACACAATAAAATTTTTGACAAAAAAATTGGCGTACCGTTAAAATAATTTATCACTATGCCCTTTAAATTACCATCGACTATAATTTATGCGATTACAATCACGCAATAAAGCCACGATTATTACATGATAAAGGAATCCCAGCTTATTTGTGCTCCTAATTGCATGAAGGTCAAACCACTGATACGTTTAATTTTGCTCATCTATTATGCATCAAACTTGTTTTGTCGATTTTCCGCAGTCAAATTTCATGTCTATGTGCATAGTCGCAGTCGCTCATTGCCGCAGAGGTAGTGGTGGTGTCAACCTGGGCAACCAACATGCCATTTTTTCCAATATTGAACTTGACCCTAGCAACTTTTTTATTTTGCACGTGCTTTACTGATGGAAAAGTTGCGTTGCAAAAAGGATCGTCAGAGGCCAACCCAAAAAATCTGACTCGCGTAAAAAATTTTCAGAAAACTGAAATTTTTTCCCAAACTTCTCCACATCAAGGCGCAGCTTCGCCAAAAAGGAAGACGCATTTGCTGGCAACAAAAATCCCGAAAAACAGCTTGTCGTCAGCTAGGTCAAACGGCCACATTGAATTCACAGAACTGGAAGGTAAGATTTTTCCAATTCAATTTACTATTTTGATACGTCCGAGCGGTCTCTCTTAGACCCGGACACACTTCTCTAGACTCTGGACACTGTCCCAGAGTGCTCAGTTCAACTCAAACCCTCTCAGGGTGCTCTCAGGGTTCACAACACAAAATCACACACTCTCAAGTGGGAGGCAAGATCAGAACTAAACTTTTATTGTAAGGGTTGCCAACATCATAAACTTTACTGCCAACCTAACACCTCCTCCTCTAGATTGAAACTCACATTGCAAATAAAGAATTTTGAAAGAAAATTAAATTGACAAGTATTTCCTAACCTTAAACAATTGAAATTTTCAAAGCTAATTTAAGGCTGAATACCCTGTCACTCTCATTCACTTTTTCTTGCTCAAAACAAAATCCTTCAAATATTCGGGTAATTTTCTGTCCCTTTGGGGACGACTGGGGGTCACAGGCTTTTGGGTTTCTGGGGGCTTTGCTTCAGGCGCTGCTTTTTCTGGCACTTCAATTGGAGTGGCCTCTGGGGGTTCTGGAGGCAGGCCATCTGGATCTTGGTCAATTGGCTGGGGTTCGAAAGCAGTTGCTGGTTCTTGAGGTCCGACTCGTCTCGGACTTGGCTGTGGTTGGGAAACTGGAGAGCTAGGAGGTTGCAGAATTTTCTTCACCTGGTCCTTGTGGCGCTCCGTTGTTCCAGCATCCGTCTCGACCATCACTCGTCGTGGGCCTAAATCTTTCAGCACCACCGCCGGCTCCCATCTCTGCTTTGGGTTGCGGTAGCTCCGGACCACGACAGGTTGATTTTCAGACAAGGGCTGAATTGGCTTCTGACGGAGAGCTTCGACCACCTTCCTGTCTCGGTCAGCTCGCCCCTTCAGTGCTGCAGCTTCTGGACGGAGTTTGTCAAGCAAAGTGAGTGGCTTCCTGCCCAAGTTGAACTCCGCTGGTGCAATTCCAGTCCTTTCAGATGGTGTGGAATTATGGCCAAGTAAGAAACTGTCCAACTTGTTGTCCCAATCCTTCTCAGGAACTTTTTTCAAAAATCTCTTGACTGTTTGAACCGCTTTCTCAGCCTGGCCATTGGTCTGTGGGCTGTAAGGTGGAGAATAAATCAGCTCCACACCATTGTCCTCGCAAAACTTCTTAAATTCCTCTGCTCTGAATCCTGGGCCATTGTCGCAGACTGCCACATCACAAACTCCTTGCATTCTGAAAAGTTTTCTGGCAAATTTGATGACAGTGGCTGCATCCATGTTGTTGACTCGCTCCGCATCGATCCAGTTGGACAAGGCATCCGCAGCCACGATGAAAGCCTGGCCTCGTCTCACCTCGAGGAAATCAAAATGAACTCTGCCCCAAGGTCGGTGAGGCAGACTCCAAGGGATTACTGGCGCTTTGCTGTTAGCAGGGTTGACCAGAGAGCAGGGCAAGCAAGATTTGCAGAGCCGCTCAATTTCTTCATCGATGTGTGGCCACCAGAAATAAGAGCGAGCCAAAGTCTTCATTCGGACAATTCCAAAATGGTTTAGGTGCAGCAAGTTCAGAATTCTGGTCCTCAAATTCGGAGGTACCACTGCCCGACCTAAAAAGGTTAAAACTCCATTAGTCACTTTCAAGTCCAGCCACCTTTTTTGGAATTCTTGAAATTCTATGGGTAACGCAGTTGGCGAAGTACCTTGGCGCAATTTCCTGATGACTGTTTGAAGTGATTCATCTTGTTGGGAAGCAGCTTGCAGCTCTTGCAGAGTTGGCAGCTGCTCAGTTGAACCACTTTCCAAGACTTGAAGGAAAGCAATCTTTGTCTCTTCCTCTTCTTCCTCCTCCGCAGCCAAGGCAGGCAGTGGTAGTCTGGACAAACAATCAGCATTTGCGTTTAGTTTTCCAGGGCAATGTTTCAATTCAAAGTCATAGTCTCGCAAAACTAGACAATACCTTTTTAATTTCGAAGGCAGTGCTTCAGCCATCGGTTTTCCCTTTCCAAACACACCCAGCAGGGGTTTATGATCAGTCAATAATTCAAATGGACGCCCCCACAGGAATTGCTTGAATTTCTTGACGCCCCAGACGATGGCCAAAGCTTCCAGTTCAATCTGTGAATAATTTTTTTCACTCGTATTCAAAGATCTTGAGGCGAAAAATACAGGTACCTCGTTTCCCTTGTCGTCCAGATGGCTCAAAACTGCTCCCAAACCTCGACGACTGGCATCACAGGCAAGACGAATTGGCTTTTTGGCGTCGTAGTATGACAAGGCCACAGTCTCTTGCAGACTCTTGTTGACCTCTCGTACAGCTTTCTCGCACTCTTGAGTCCACTCGTAAGCCACGCCTTTCTTCAAAAGCCTGTAAACAGGAGCCAAAATTGAAGCCTTTCCAGGAACAAATCTCTCGTAATAGTTATAGTACCCCAGCCAAGCTCGCAGCTCTTCCACATTCTTAGGGGAGGGCATCTCAGCCAGGGCCTTCAACTTCTCGTCAGTTGGCAGCACCCCATCCTGGGTGAATTTGTAACCCAAGTAGGTCAACTCTGGAACAAGGAATTCACACTTTGAGATTTTCACTCTCAGCCCATTTTCCAGAAGTCGTTGGAGTACTGCTCGAGAAAGCAGTGTCAATTCTTTCTTCGTTTCAGCAAACAATAACAAGTCGTCATAATAAATGAACACGCCCTTTAGCCCCACCAGCACTTTATAAACCTTCTCTTGAAAAACTGGCGGGCAAATTGAAAGGCCGGGAGGCAGCCGAAGGAAACGAAACCTACCCCGATGTGTCGTAATCACAAGTAGCATTGAAGACTCCTCGTCCACTTCAAACTGTAGGTAGGCATCAGCCAGGTCGATCTTCGTAAAGAAACAGCCCTTCTTCACAGAGCTCAGGAGCTTTTCAATCGACGGCACGGGAAACTCAGCCGACGCGCACGCCGGATTCACAGTCGCACTGTAGTCTGCACACAATCTAACTCCGTTTCCTTTCTCTACGTAAACCACAGGGGTGGCCCACTCACTAAAAAGCACTTTCTCAATTACTTTCTTCTTCTCTAACTCTTCAAGAACTTTATCCGCTTTCTCCAAAAGTCCAAATGGCACTTGTCTAGCAGGTAGCTGCACCGGTTTTGCTCCCGGCTTTAAGGGAATGGAAATTTTACCACCCTTAAACTTGCCTAAAGACGGCTCAAAAACCTCTCTCAAGTCCTGAAATTCAGGTGGCACTGAATTCATTTTGTACACTGAAGGTAATTCTTGCTGCACATTTATTTTCTCTTCTAATTTCCCTCCACTGAGCTTTGGCAGCCCCACTTTAATTCCCAAGGGCTCGAACCAGTTTCGGCCCAACAATGACGGACCATCTCTGTCCATCACCAGCAGGTCCAGCAGAACTTCTTGCTTGCCCTTTGGCTGCAATTGCACTTGAACTCGGCCAAGGGCAGCAATTTCTCCGTCCTGACCCCAAGCTTTCATTCTGACACGGCTTGGGAGCAGGAGTGTCTGTCTGAAAAACTCACAGTACGTCGAATGTCCAATCAAACTGAATGTGGCGCCTGTGTCCACCTCCATCGTCAGCAATTTGCCTTGGACAGGCACGTCCAACATCACCTTCTCAGTCGCCGAGATTGCTGGCGAGGACGACTCCACTTGAAGAAGGTAGTTGGTCACAGCCAAATACTGCTCCTTCTCCTCTGGTCCACCCTCTTCTTCCTCCTCGTCCAGGTCTTGGCCATCCATTTGGTAAGCTCTGTGTCCATTGAGGTTGCACACTTTGGCAATATGCCCTTCCTTCTTGCATTTCAAACACTTTGAATTTTTGAACTTGCAATCTTTCTTGAAATGTCCACTTTGTCCACAAGCATAACACTGCCAGCTTTTCCCAGCCAGCTGGCCTTGCTGCTGACTTCCTCTGCTGTCAGGCTTCTTCACATTGAACTGCCTTCTAGGCGGCCCAATTCGGTGCACATCCACAGCTGCTCTCGACTCCAGGGACTGTGCGCTCTTCTCTGCTGCTTCATGAGCCATGATCTTGTTCTTGACAAACTGCAGAGTCAATGTTTTGTCATCTTCTGCTAACAGCTTCTCTCTTAACTTGTTGTCTCTCAGACCAGAGATGAGTCTTGCTACCAACACTTCATCTTTGTCCTTATAACCACTTTTGGTAGCCAAACTGGTCAACTCTGCAATGTAGACAGCCGCTGCCTCGTCCTGTCTCTGCACTCTTGTATTGAATTCATGCTTGTAGACAATTTTCTTAGGTTCTTGTCCTTGGTAGTACTCACTCAGTCTCTTAGTCAACTCTGTGTACTTCACCTTCATTACTCCCTCTGGGCACACTTTCTCAGCCACCGCAAAAGATTCAGGGTCCTGATTGTCCAGAAACATGTTCCTCTTCTTTGTGTCACTGTCGTCTCCAGTCAAGTCCTTAACCGCAAAATGGATGTCCCACTCTTGAAACATCCACTTTGCGACCACTGTCCGGATGCTCTTGATATTTCCGGATTTCTTGCCTCACGCTGACCCTCTTGCGTCAGCCTCACCGTCAACACGTGGTTCTCGCCGACTCAGTTTTCGGCCCTCGTCGCCACTTTTGATACGTCCGAGCGGTCTCTCTTAGACCCGGACACACTTCTCTAGACTCTGGACACTGTCCCAGAGTGCTCAGTTCAACTCAAACCCTCTCAGGGTGCTCTCAGGGTTCACAACACAAAATCACACACTCTCAAGTGGGAGGCAAGATCAGAACTAAACTTTTATTGTAAGGGTTGCCAACATCATAAACTTTACTGCCAACCTAACATATTTGTTTGGTTTTATGACCAAAATAAATATCTATAAAGCAACCAACATCACCACGCAGCCTACACATCACACCATGAATAAGCAAACCGCAAATGCCAAGGATTCAATCGAAAAGGCAAATATTCACCTGATTGGGTGGGAATGGCATGACTTCGGCGTTTTCATCACCTTTGCAATTTTTGTGTTTACAGTGGGCTATGCTAAAGTTGGTATGTGCTAATATTCATTTACGAAACCGAGATTTCTATTTTTATTAAACGATCTAGTTTTTCACCACACACACTTCTTGGAAGCATATTTTCCAGAATCTTTGTAAGGCTGAAAAATAAAATGGAAAGTTTTAATTATATAATAATCAACAATGTTTATATTTAGCTTAATGCTCGGCCTTGGTGCGGCTGTTGGATCTATATTATAGTAGGTTTTAAAATTTACTTGGTGATATATTGCTAGTGCAAAAAAAAAAATTTATGGAAGAAACGTTTCTTTTTGGAACTGCAAAAAACTGCTCAAAGCAGCTGAAGGAATGTATTATCATGCTGAATTTAAAATTAAGATTTTATTTTCTATGTTTATTTATAATAAAAAAATTATAATATTTTATGTATGTATAACAAAGTTTAGTTGCAAATTGTGTTTATTGATATATCACAAAGGCAATTGCTGCCCATAACGGGATACATCATTCATACATTCAAAATTATACAAATTCAATACAATTGAGAGAAAAGAAGTTTAAGGCGCAGTTTCATAGCAAAAATCACAATATCCATTTTAAAATTTTTTTATCGTTTTTTAATGAGATTTTTATCAGCGTCCTAGGCTACCATATGCCACTTGATTTGGACACAGAAAAAGCTGAACTTTCAGAGCCAATTGGCTATCAATTTTACTATTACAAGGAGCAAGCTCAAGAATCAACCCTTGAGAGTAAAGAGGACGAGTTTTCTTTTCCACGCTTTTCGCCAAGGCTTTACTTTCTTATATTAATACCTCCGTAAGTTACTATATACTCATATATCAATTGACAAATAATGATACTTGTAAAAATTTTCAGGATAATTTTGGAGCAGTCATACGCACTTTATGATTCAGAGTTTTCAGAGAGCCTCTATCCTATCCTGCTATTTTCAATAATGGTAAGTTTATTAATTAAGTAATTTTTTTCATCAACAGAATATTATATTCAAAAACACATTCACCGCATTCGCGCAATGCTGCTTCAGGGAAAATTGATCAGCACTTCTTCTATTGGTAAGCTTTATAAAGATAATACAACATAAATGTATCATGTATTATCCATGAATCTTATGATTTACAGGACTCATACTACACGCTCTCTCTTATTACAAAGCGATACCTCCACTACTCCCATCAAAAGGAAATCAGCAATCGTGGCTAGCTTTGACAGACAGCCTCGTTTTTGCCTCGATCATATCTGCAGTCGATCCAGTTCCTGCTTTAGGGCTGCTGCACGAAGCAGGTGTCAACAAAAATCTATATTTCCTCATTTTTGGGGAATCATTGTTAAATGGTAAAAGTAAAAAGAATAAGATTACATGTTTTTTACTAGAGCGTGTCATTGTTTTATAGACGCAGTGTCCGTCTCATTGTACAGTTCATTAGTTGCATTTACCGGGCCTATAAAAATCCTTGAATCTCATTATGGAATGGCGGTTTTGGCATTTTTAATCAAAAGTTTTGGAGGACTTTTGATTGGCGTGATTTTTGGACTTATCTCGGCACTTGTATCAAGAACCACCAAACATCACCAAAGTAAATAAATTATTTAATTTCCTTTTTTCCTTGGTAAATGATTGTTGATGCTAATCGATTCATTTTAATATAGCCGTTGAGCCGCTAGCTTTACTAGGATTGGCTTACATTTCATATTTATTAGCGGAGGTCATTCATTTTTCTGGACACATATGGTGATGAACAAGACTTATTAATATAAATTTTAAAACACGTAACATGGATATTAATGCGAAGATAATCAATTAGTTTTTTGTTTCCAGTTTGATAGGTTGCGGATTGTTGCAAGCGCATTATGCTTTTCAGAACATTTCTTTCACTTCGTACAACTCAATAATTCATTTAATTAAAATGCTGAGGTAATTTTGATGAAAATTGATGTGATAAATAATAAATACAAATGATATTATTTTTCTCTCTTCAGTTCAACTAGTGACGCCATAATTTTGATGTTTCTCGGAATGGCCATGGTTGATTATTCACACGTTTGGCACACGAGCTTCATTCTTTGGACGCTCCTACTTTGTTTTGTGTGTCGATTTTTTGGAGTCTACATTCTAGCTATGTTTCATAATTTAACTAGCTCCAGGTGGATTAATTTCCGCGATCAAACGATTTTGGCCTACTGTGGTTTAAGGGGCGCCCTTTGCCTTTGCCTAGCCCATATGCTAAACGACTCCAGAGTTCCACAAAAATCACTATTTGTCACAGCAACTTTGGTTGTAATATTATTCACAACACTGGTCCAAGTATAAAGTTGCGCTTTTTGAACTTTGAGTCTTACTTTTATTAATAATTTATAGGGAAGTACGGTGCAACTATTGTTGCGCTGCATGTGCATTAAGAGACAAGACCACATAAGTGAAACGTTGAATGAGGGGACTGCTAATTCTGTATTTAGTCTTGTGGTGTGTGGCATCGAATCAATCACCGAATCAAAAGGAAATGGATACATAAAAGTATTCATATCTTATATTATCAAACTACTAACGCATTTTTGCTGCTCAAAATTTTCCTTATGTTAGAGAGCATTTGCAAAATTTGACCAGAAGTATTTGAAGAAAATATTTTTGTCAAGAAACGCTGACCACGAATTGCAGAGGATGTTCCAAAAAATTGCTTTAGAGTAAGTATTTAATAAATTAATATCATTAATTAGAACTTTTTTAAATTTTACTAACTGTTCTTAAAAAATCCACCAAAAAAATTGTTTGTGAAAATAACAATGGGTAGGGGCCACATCTCAAGTCGAATTCCGTCTGGGAGGAAGATTGAAAGAAGCTATGAAACTAAGGTGTTAAACAGAGTACCAGATGGAAATAGGCAACTCTATTCCAGCGCAATTAACCCTTTGGAACAATCGCGAAGAATAGATCAGCACAGACCATTCCGAGTGGTGGAGAAATATCAATCATATTAATGTTTCATCTCTAATATTTCCTTTACACAAACAATAGGAGAGACGAAAGAATAAAAAAATTAAAGAGGAACAACACAATCTTAAAATTATGCACGCGCATTTTGAAGAGAATGATGATCAAGGACCTCTTTTGATAGGTAAATTTTCAACTTAAAATCAAGCTCTCTTCTGTTCACTTATGCCTTAAATAATTCTGCACAGAGTTGCATGATGTCATTCCACCAGCTGACTCAAATGAGGGTAGGACATTGTACCTGGCGCGTGTTAGGAAAACTTCAGCAGAAGAGAGATTGCGGGAGATGATAATAGAGGAATTAAAAAAAATTGAAATTCCACACGTTAGAGAGGCATTTTCAGAGAATGAAAAATGAGCAGGTCAACTTTTGATTCATTTATTTAACATGAACGAGATAAATGTTAAATATGAGAAAAATACATGTTTTCATTGAAATAAAATTAAAATATATTGTTTTTTAACTTTAACTGACTGATGGTTGCGGGTTTAAAAATGCAGCTATGGTTCACTGGTTTACGGAGTTTGAGGAATTTTGCTCTTCTGATCAATTTCATAATTTTTCATACTTTGGCAAAAAAGTGGACTTTCAGTGAATATTGGTTTCATGAATATGAGATCTTTAAATCTTAAATTACGACAAATGGCTAATTAAAAAATCCTGCTTTGGTAAGAAAAATCTTTTAATTATTATGGCATGTGCTCTTACTAATGAATTAAAACAAGCAGGTTGACAATAATCCACATTTAAATATATCTCACAAAGTTATAATAGATAATTTGTTCCGAAAATATGCGCTGCCTTAAAAATGGCAGCACTCTTACCAACAATGGCAAGTAAATTGTGCACATCACATATAAGCAGGAAATTTACCTTCCTCCTTCAACTTTGCAGCGTATTCTCTTAAACTAGCAAGGAAGTCCAGCATGGCAGACGAAAGTGCTGCTTCCACCATATACTGAGGCACCCAACCTTTTAGATCCGTGTCCAGCAGCCACAGAAAAATGCACTGGTTAGGCTCGCCCGGAACTGGCTGCATAGCCCAACAGTTAGGTCCGTTTTGTCCTCTGTAATATATTTAAGTTATGATTTTTTTTATTGAAGATTTTAAACAAAACAATACCTAATTAATTTCTTGTTTTCAGGTGCGTCTAAGTGTGAACACGAACAACCTGATGAAATATAGACACCGTCTTTAACTCCCCAATGCCGCAGAACCACAAACTCTCTGCTTGTCACCACCCCACCACCACCTTCAGCTGAAATTTGATACACTATGTCTGTGTGTTCGTCCAGAACCTGTTGAAGAATGAAACATACAGCTCAAAATTGCAAAGTAAAAGTAAATTCAATGATCTACCTGAAGCCTTCTTGATTGAACAATAGTTTGGTTCCACGCCGGCATATCTTCTACTTTATAGTAGAGCTCTTCTAACAAAAGCTTCGGAGGAATTTCAATTTGACCCTTTAAAATAAAATTTTAAAGTCGGAAAATATACAATTATTATATTGGTGATTAAGTTTTCACAAGGAAAACTCACTTTAAGTCGAAAGATTTTTCTCTGCTTTGCAACACCTTTAGATTCTACGAGATCGCCTTCGGCCGTCTCCTTTTCCTTTTTCCATCCAGTTTTGGAATTCAAAGCTATCCAAGCTGTGTTGAAATTTTCACGAGCTTCTGCAGCCAACTGGGCTTCCTAAATCCAGAGAGATGTTGAAAAAATTAAAAATTGAATGAAAAAAAAAACATGATAAAACATTAAAAGGTCCCCCAAAAAATGAAGGGTGTTCTGGGTGTTAAAAACAAGGTTGCTTACCGTCAATACAATTTCTGGAATAGGATCTTTAGAATCAAACGAGAAAATATTTCTAAAGCGTTTGATGAACCCCACAGTCCTAGATCCATTGTGAGGCTCACTAGAGGTCAAAAGACCCTCATTAAAATCAAAAGCCGCTGAGACAGATTGATCTCGATGCGTCATATCAGACTGAACTATTAAACTATACTGGCCGGCTCTCTTATAGAAGCATCTTTCATGCGAGAATAAATTAAAATTTTTAAAGGAGTCGAGGACTGGATAATCTGCTTGCGCGCGCATCACTTATGAACCAGCATAGAAAGCTCTCTTGCCCAGGAGCGCTTTCTGCTGCTGACTATCATTTGCAAGAGAGGGGAATGATCGGTCAAAAATGCAAGCCTTTAGAAATAAGCTCGGCGCTGTTGCAACAATGAGATAAATGAATTCGCATTTTTAGAATCAAGGCCAAAACTTTATACTTTATTCAGGTCAATTTTTAATTGAATAATAATTTAAAATTCTTCGTTAATTATTTCTCCTTTCCCATGATAATTTTTTAATTCCACAATGCCTGTAATTATTATTTTTAATGAATTTTCTTGCTATTCTCAAAAGGAAGGAAAACAAAATTTCTCAAAACCTTATAATAGTGTAAATATTGAAGTCGCAGGAGAACTAGTGATTACTGATTGGCATTGAGTGGCTATTTTTCGTATCGAGTGGAAATGAGAGCGACTTACTTTGCTCAATGGCTGACTTCTTGTTCTTTGACTACTTGATCGGTATCTCGAACCACTTTCATCTTCATCGTCAGACCCTGAAACAACCCAAGTTTTTACTCATTAAATTGACTACATTAAACATATTTTCCATATTTTATTTTGAATCTATAAGATAAAGAAAAAGCACTAATAATTTAATCCTGAAATTCTGTAACAATCATTAATAAAGTGCTCTTTCATAATTTTTTAGATATTCTCATTGAATATAATTTAAAAGAGAAATTAAGCATAAACTTAGGAGTTATTTATATAAAAAATGAGCACCTCTAGGCGAATCCAAAGGAGAATAAAAATTCCCAATGGATTCTGTGTAGTTATCCGGTCGGCCAACACTACTGAGGAAATTTCGTAACAGTGGTGTTCTCTCATCATATACGCCACGGAACATATTAGGCGCGTTTTGATCTATAAATATGTGAGTTCGTTTATAGGTGAATGAATTTGAATTCATGTTACGCAAACCTATGACAATGGCCTGAGCCAAGGCCTCTTGAGGGATAACTCGAAAATCTAAAAACCAAGTTTCGCCCCACGCCAAAACAAATGATGTCAATATTATAAGAACTTGAAAAACAGGCTGCCCAGCTGAAGCCCACTGTTGAAAAATTTTGCTTAGAAAATTTTGATTAAACATTTTCAAATCACTCACGTTGAAAACGAATACTTTAAATATCAGAAAGGCACACGTTCCTGATGTCGAGAGCTATTTTGGGCATATTTAGCATAACTTTCTCTCAGAGGGTAAACCAATTCACTTACAGCAATTATGATCCAATGGTTAATGTAGAGAAGAGCATAAAAAAGGAGGAGCACAGTAAATCGGCATGCCGCGGCCATCTAAACAATAATAAAATTTACATGCAAATATCGAAGCGGATGTGAACAAAAATTATGCCTACCACAATATCGAACATTGACGTGTGCACATTGTAGTGCGTTACCTCATCAATTAGGGCTTGCACCACATCTCTGTTGCCAATCAACTAAAGTGAAACATGCAAAATTAATTAATGAAGTTAAATAAAAATGAAATAATTTTAAATTTACCATGATGCAGGTAAACCACATGAGGAATGTAAAAAGCAAGTCAAACGTCAGAAACAAGCAGAAAAATCTGCGAACTCCTGACATTTGACCACCTAATCTTAAGCCTGCAAGCAGCTCATCGTTATAAAACTCTATACTTGGACTAGTAGGACCTAGAACATACATCAGATGTTCCAAGTTATGTAACTCCTTTTTTGCATTCTATTGCTAAATTTTTATCAAATAATTAGGATTGATCTTTTCTCTCACTTTGGATATTTCCTCGAAGACTGACCAGTCGGGGATACATTTGGTCGTAAAGGGGTCCTGTGGAAACGTAGCTATCAGGATGAATTTGTTGCTGTGGGTGCAAAGGCAGCTGGCGTGAACTGCTTGAGCTCCCGGATAGCAGAGACTCAGCAGCCTGCCTTGCAGATTCATCTCTTGATGCCATTTTACAGCTGCAAATTGTAGCAGATAATGAGTCAGTTTTTTTTTTTTTTTTTTTAATTTGTATTTGTACCTTAATTTTTGCCCTCAGAGCTTTGTTTATGATCAATCCATGGTCAATAAAATACTTTCCAGCCTTGTATCAACGTCTCGTCTAATTCAACCCCGTATTCAGCCTGTCCTAAAAACGCGCAGATTAATTCTTGGTCCTTCCGTTCCCACCAAACTATGTATGTATGTTGGACAATCCAACTTCTCAAAAGTCGTTCAGTACTTCAACGCAGTAAAAACTAGGTTTAAATGAATTTAATGACAAAATAATGACATTTTGAATGACGAAATTTTTATAAATTTACCTTTAACGGAGGAAAATTTTCAATTTTCTTCGCACTTCCGACGCTAATCTCTAAATTTTGCTGTTGACAACAGCAGCCCAGATTAGCAATAAAAATCATCACAGCTGGCTGTACGTTATGCCAACATAACTATAATTACCTACACCGTGACACTGAAACATTTGACCTATTACTATTAAAAAGGGCTTAAAATTAAAATAAATATAAGATAATGAATCTTTTGATGAGATTTTATATTATTATTGCAGTTTTTCAAACTATTGGGATTTTATTAATCCGAATAAACCAATTTTATATGGCAACACTGAATTGCCTCTCAATCCCGATTGGCTAATCGACTTTTGTTTACGTTTGCTACTTGAATCCTCTCAAAAATTACTCTGCATTAAATGAAAGCTGTTTATAATTAATTCCAAGCAGATATTTAGCTCCTTTTTATATTCAATTAAATTTCAAAACAATGCAGAGAGAAGAAAAGCAGCAAGATGCAGTACTCGAGGCCATTATCAACAAGGTCAATGATCTCAAAACGTCCATCGGGGCCATGATTTTCAAAGTTGAAAATGAGTATGAAACTCTCAATTGGCCATCATTCCTTGACAATTTCGCCCTCATATCGAGTCAAGTATGCACTTCGTAATCAATCCAAACCTTTCAATTTACTATACATACAAATTTTACCTCTTTTCAGTTGACCTCCCTCACGAAAATCCTGAGCAACGAGAAGGCGCCTCCACTGAGGAATTTCACAGTACTGCCTCTTTTACTGAAGCCGGATCTTGACGAAAATCTTGCAAGGCTCACAGATGGACGACTAAATACTTTTTCGCATGATATTGTTCCTGACTATTTAAGAACAAAACCAGAGCCGGATGCAGAACTGAAAATGATGACGTTAGAACACAAAGCGAGTTGTGTAAATTATGATACAGCGCAGGTAATTAACACATAAAAATTTATTAAAAGAATTATGCCATTTGAAATTTGAATTCTTAGAAACAAGTTGCTGCAATGAACAAAGTTGTTGGACATGTGTGGGACATTGTCAGCAAAGCAAGAGACGAATGGGACGGAGATGCAAGTTCTCGAGCTGGTGGTGCCCAAACTTCGTCGATTGCCGATACGAACTGCCTGGTTGCGGCAATCAGCCTAGGGAAGGGTCTTAAGCACACCGTGCCTCCGCCTGGAATGATGGGAGGCCCTCCGACTGGCCCTCAAAGGGGACCTGGGGCATTAGGACCTCCTCAAGGTCCACCTGGCGGCATACCAAACCAAAGTAGGCCATTTGTCTTGTGTTTCAAAGATGATTTTATTTACTTTTTATTATTTTCAGTGGGACAAATGGGAAAGACACCCAGCGCTATCAAAACCAACATCAAGGCTGCAGGTCAGATTCACCCATACAACAGATAAAACTTGGTGCTTCTTTAATTTTTGGGCTTTATTAATTTGAGACAACTACATAAAATATTGCAATCTATAAATAAACCACATAAGAACACTTGAATACATGTTGTGTTGCCATCATAAGAGTGAATACAGATTTTTTAGATGACCGAGTCAGTATTTAAATATTTTACAGAAATGCAGTAGCTTAATGAAAATAAAATCACTTCTTAGATATTTCGCACGGATTTTTCTTATTTGCCTTGTACAAATTATTTCTAACAAAGTTAAAATATTATACTCGAGCTGTGTGTGATATCTGCAAAAAATTAACTTGTTTGACTGTTTACCATTCTAATGGTACATGTATATTGAGATATTATATAGATATGGATGCATAACAGATTTATTACATCGTGTGTTATTATTTTGCGGCTTAGTATTTTCTGTGCGGTCAATCCAAATGCATAATTTTCTAGGCCATATCTCAAACCAACTATTTTCCAAATTCAAGTCTTGTTGTCGTATTCTTGCAACAGCGCTCAGCGTCAATATATTATGCCAAGAAAATTACATTGTGCAGGCAGGAGGCTGCATTTATGCAAATTATTTACATTTTGTCATTCAATGAACCTTCTTTCTTTCCACCAGTCCTACACATCCCTACTTATTTTTAGTCAATATCGGGAAGATTTGGCTTACAAATTTTAATTACTTTCCAACTTCATCTAGTTTTGTCTTCAATATTATTAATTGGAAATATTCTAATATGAAATTGAAAAAAAATCCTTAAACTACAAATAAATGAATAAGCAATTTGCTGACTTTCTTGATCCAAACTTGAATTATTTGTTCTTCCTCAGTCTTAGAATACTGTTTTGTTCTTATATTCTCCCATTAATATTTTTTGCTATAGCTAAAAAATATCTGAGTTACCGAAGCACACATTTTGTTAGTACTTTTGTGTTTAGTATTTTTAGTAGAATATATAGAAATTTTCAAAATTATCTGTTCGTTCCAATTTTTAAGCTTTCATGTCTCATTATTAGGCCAACTCCATAATTTCTACCCCATGCATCACAATTCTCTCCATTTCATATAGCACCGAAGGTCGTAAAATACATGAATCATAATTGACTCATAACTTTATTCTTAATAATATTTAAGGTCCACTCTAAAATTTGTGATTCCACATTTTTCGTTAAAAAATAAATCTGGAATTATTTGAGACACAATGAATATATCTGGTGGAAATTAATTAATTAGGAACAAATGGGTGATATTATTTTTTAAGCAGGCGCAAATACTTTTCATGAATTAAATGGATATGGATGCTAAAAACTTGAGATCTGAAGTCTCAACCTCATCTACCTATCAGACCATTTGCAATGTTAGACTCCTCGAAACGAAACCAATTCTTTTGACTTTCAGTTTGTTTCTCTGTTTTTGTTCAAATCTGGGGATGCCGGAGGAACTCCAGGCTTTTTCATAATTTGCGGCTTGGCCTTCAATGGTGGCTTTTCAGCGCCGACCTTTGTCTGCGTCTGTGCATCAATGGCCACGGAGGCCGAACCTGAAGACGAGCTTGACGACGTCCTAACGTCCTTTTTCTTCAGAGTGCACTGGTTTTGCTTGGCAAATCTTTCGGCCGCAGTCATGTCAGGACTTTCTGGGCCAGAGTGCTGCGGGCTGTGACTAGGGGATGCCTCAGCGTCCTCGTCAGAAGCACCAGAGGGTGAAATGCTGGTGCTGCTGTTCAGAGGAAGGTCCATCACCAGATCAGGCGTGTGCTTCTGCCGAAGGGGCAGCCCGACTAGGTGGGGTGTAGGCAAAACGGGAGTTGATTCAGAGGCCGAATTTTCCCTCTTGCGCCATATTTCTCGACTTTGTTGGAAAGTGCTACTGGTTGTGCTGCCAGTACTACTTCCAGTGCTCCCCTCGCTGCTCAAACTGCTCAAGCTCGTCCTGTCTGCTTCTATGTGCAGCTCATCGGTTTGCTAATTATTGATTATTTTTTAATTGAAGTAAAATTTAATTGTGATTAAATTTACCTGAAGTGTGTGTGGCTCTGCTTGCGACTCATGAAGTTCAGAGTCTTCTAGACTAGTTTTTTCAGTAACATTATTCCAATTTGTTCCACTCAGACCGTCAAGTTGGATCTCAGGCGCAGCGTGGCTGCCATTCACTTTGACACTGACATTCTCGGCAGGTGTATTGTCCTGGAAAATAAAAATTATGAGATTTTTCGCAAACTTTTAGAAAAATTAAATACAAAATAAGGTATTTACAGCCAGTTTCCAATATACCGTAAATTATTTTGATTTGATCGATGGCATTTTTTATAGCAGACTTCTACAATCTACAATATCATTGTCTTTTTTTTCAATAGTTTCATACAATCTACATAGCCTATTGATATTTTAGAATACATGAGATTAGTAAATATTACTAACAAAAATTGAAACACAAACATTTGATGCAATAACAGCCTAATTAGAAGCCAAGTCAAACTTTTTATGGCATCTAGTAGTGAAAATGTGACAATGCTCAAATTATTTTTAGATAAATTGAACAAGAGGGCTCTTGCATTCTGTTTATGGCAACAAAAGTGACCTGGATGATTGTTCTACAAACCTTTGTTGAGAGCTGATAAAGTTTGATGAATAAAGTGTATGAGCTCCTGCTTTCTTACAAATGCACACAAAATGCAAAAATTAATCACTGTGCACATGAAACTACAAAATTTAAGCTTACATGCACTGTGATCTACATTTAACACAGGATAGGAAAAGCTCAAAATGAGAAAACACAAGGTATATAAAAGTGGTACTGAAGCTATTAAACACACATATTCAATAGTATTTTTATAATAACGTCTTTCACCCTTCACTTTTGTGGTGAAAAGATATTGAAATTAACCATTTGTTAGGAATAAATTTTTACTATTGTTTAAAAGGTACAACAGACTCTAGCAGTATATTTTTATATGCGCTCCGATATATTGCATACAAGAGAATAAATATTAATTTAAGTTCTTTCCATGGAATTTTTTTATATTATTCTTTTTAGAGTGTACTTCCCATTATCACCATGCAAAAAACAATTGTAACATTGTAAGCTTACATTATTCACATCAACCAAAAGCTTAAGCATAATGTTTACATGCTGTTGTTAGTCTGAACATAATCAATAGCAAGCAATGCAGACTTAAATATAAAATACGACTCACCTTTTAGCAGACGAGATTTTTCTGGTGTTTTCAGGGTGGGCAACTTATATCAGCAAAGAATATTGAAATTAAATAATAAAAAAGGCTATTATATTACGACCTTATGACTTTATCTTAATAAATGCATTTAAAAATACAAATAATATTTAAGAGACTGTTCAAAATAATATCTACATTAGACCTCAAACTTGTTTCACATTTTGAGTGCTCGAAACCATTTAAATGAGACAACAACTTCGATCAACAAGAACAACATTCAAACAACATGCTGGCTGACCCTATACAGTGGTTTCAAGTACCTCAGGTGGAAGCTGAGCCAACGCTAGCTCTATGGAGTTTCTGTTCAATGATGGCAGAAGATTCACAGGCGTCACAGTGCACGGAGGTGGCAGTGTCGGTGGTCCTGGTGAGTCGATTGGCTCAAACTCAACAACCACAGGCTCAATTGGTGAATGCTGCGAACTTTGCCCTGAGAGTAAAGAATCGTTTGAACTTGATGCTCTTCGCTTCACAACAGACTCGTCTGAACTAGACTTCAACTCAAGTCTTTCCCTATCATCATCCCTAAAAGTTAAAAATTCAGTTTTCGAACTAAAATGTTTTAATAATTTTTTAACACACTTGTTGATTTTCAACATGATGTATTTGTCAGGTATCAATCCTTCGTGACCACCAGCACTGCCTCGCCACCAGTCGTTTGAAACTTGATTATATAAGGTGACATGTTGACCCTTCCTCAAACTGAGTTCACGTTTGGAGCGTGCTCGAAAGTCAAACTGCACTGTAGCTTCCAGAGATTCACATTCTAGTAATAAACATAAATAATTTTTTTATAAAATAAATTTTAGTTTTTATTTCTTACCATCTTCAGACGGATACACCTCTGAATCAATATCATCATGTACATTATCTGACGGAGAATCACCCATGTCACTATAAATTTAAATTATATTTTTAGCTAAGGAGCTAAAGAAAATCCTCACGTTTCATCCGGCTCGCAACTTATGTATTTTTCATAAGTTGGCCCGCCATCATCTTGGAACAATTCATCGTGCATTTCGATGACGTTCTTGATCAACTCGTTGATCAAATTTTGGTATTGCACCTGGTCTTTGTCATCAGGCACTGGGACTAAAGTGGGGCCAAAGCAAATAGCTAGGTTGTAAGGATCCATCATGTTTTCCTCGCTGTACTCTGACAGACTAGAAAGAGTTATTAGTTTCTCCTTTATTTATGTCTATCTAGTTGCTTACTGTTTGAGGAATGCGAAAAGATACCGCATAACAATTACAACCGTCCTTGGAAGGCTTTGCAGCAGCTCCTTCATTTTTCCTACAAAATCTTCATTTGGTTTCAATTCTGCAAATAATTATTGATCAGTACATTTAACTGTTACTCAAAATTCTTATTCTTACGTGCAAGCTCCATGAGCTGATCAAAGTAAATTATCGGCAGCAAAGGTTCTCTCAATTCTCTTAAGTAAAGCTTCAGAACTCCAGCCACTGAATTGATATCAGACGCATCCGTGACATCAGCCAATGGATCTTCGCCTCTTTCAAATGAGTCTTTGAAGTTGTTGATTTCAACTTGTGAGCCGGACACCCTGAATATTCCTTGATGATGCAAACCTACAAGATTAAAAAATAATTTAGAAGGAATTAAGAGATACAATCTGAATGTAAGTACCGTAAAGATTAATGACTCGAATGCAACTCTTCATCACAAGAGGAATTTCCTGGTTTGTGCTCTCCAGGTACTCTTCCAGACTACCACCAAAAAGCTTTGGCTGTCCAATCATCTGCAGCCGTCCAATTCGTTTTCGTCTAATAGGCTTATCCCCAGTCACTGTGAGACCATTGTTGGGTATCTGAGTTCCCCTGGAAGCTGGCGGCAGGTCTGAACTTCCGGCCAGCAAGGTTTTCCTTATGTAGTCGTGTTTGGCGTGCAATCTAGCTATTCTACTTGTGCCCAAAAGATACTCTCGGAATTTCTGAAAAATTAAATCCTTTTAGCTTAGGCCCATTTAATAAGCTTAAATAAAAACTCACCCCTAAATAAAACTCCTCCGTCTCTTGTTTGTCTTGCTTGAGTTTGATAGATAGCGTCTCAGGTGCTTTTGTGTGTGACGGTGTTTGCGGTGCCAATCCCAGGGTCGAAGAAAGACTGGCGTTTGGAGGAGTTGCATTGTCAGTTTTGAAAAACTGGTTGACATCAAAGTCTTTGGCAGTAAGCATGTCCAGCAAACTCCTCTCTGCTGTTTCCATGGTCTTCCAGACCTCTTCCGATTCTGTCCTCAACGACGTTATTCGGTTTTGCAGTTGACACAGGCGCGACTCGAGTTCATCTTTCAGAGACATGGTGATGTTAACATCCATGACAACCTAAATAATTGCAATTTAAAACAAGCGAAAAGGATTTAAAAAAATATATTTACCTCTTCCTCAGTGCGCGTGCCTTGCACTTCAAATTTCTTTGGAATCATAAAGGCTGTGTGGTTCGACTCAAGGAATCTCTGTTTGTCAAGACGTGAGTCTAGGGCAGCAACAGTTGCGGCCATCTGGTCAAGTCCTGCTTGAACAGATTGCTGACGGCCCTCTTCTGCAGCAACGTGTGCCATCATGGCCCCAGATATGCAGTGATGGAATCCGAGATCCATGCACTACAAAAAGCATTTGCGATTAAAATAATTTTCCAATTAATATTACCAATTTTCTTACGTCTATTAGGTCAGACAGGTCATCCACAAAGTATTTGTGAACTGTTGTGTTGGATGCCTCAAGACACAGCACATATTCATTTCGTGCTTTCAGTGCCTTCAGTCGGGCGTCGTTAAATTTGTTCTTCCTCTGTAAATTAAAACTTAAATTAGCATGAGAGTATACTTTTTGATTGCAAACTTTTACCTTGAGAACCTCCTTCTCAATAACTCTGTACTTTTTGGACCGCTCCCTCTTTTCTTTGGGTATTGAGTTTTCCAACTTGACACGCTGAGCTTCGGCTAGCCGAAGTTTGCCCTCGGCCTGTCTGGCCTCTGCCTGGTAACTCAGCCATGTCTTGCTGGTTGTATGCAATTCATGCAAAACTCGGAGCAACTCCTCATGTGTTTCGTAACCAATCTCTCGGCACTGAAAATGAAAAAAAAATGAAAAAATAAAAAACAATCAGTTGTGCTAGACCCGAAACCAACAGGAAAGAGCTTTGTAAGTAAAGAGAAGAGATGAATCTAATAAATCTCCTCGAAAAAGAGCAGAGATTGCCATCTGGAGCGAGCGCACTTGAAGTGTGAAACTCAATAGGGAGTTCTCTCATTTGCAAATTGCGCAATCAGCAATTTTCGGCGGCAAAGATTTTTGACGTGTACGATGAAATCAGAACCGACCGCAATCGAGCGCGGACAAAAAAGTTTCTTTCATTTCACAGCATCGGTTGGTAACACCCTCTTGGCAGATGAAACCCAATATTTCAATGAGCAACGAGCTAGTGCGCATCTGAACAAGATTAAATACAAGCTGATCCCATTTCAGCAACAGATGTTTTGAGTAAGAAAAAATGGAAGAAAACGCGCACACGCCAAGTTCCTATTGAGAATTAAGCCGAAGTCAGAAATAAATATGGCAACTATTATTTTGATGTAGTGGTGCGATTAACCGAGAAAAGTTATGACTTATTGCACTCACCCGTCGGTAAATACGCTGTACGTCGTCCATTAGCCCAGCCAAGCGGCCCACCAAATGGACCGAGTAAATTTCACTGAGGGCGGCATGGTCTTTGCTCAGGCCTTTGGTGTGGGTCTGCAGTTGTTGCCAGCATGAGAAGCTCGAGAAAAGTGGCCACTGCTCGCGTCTAAAAAATAAATATTTAATATTTTATTCACTATTTATGGAAGCAAAACATTACTTTTGTTTCTGCTCGCGGTGCCTGAGGGCCAGTGACTTTGACAGCTTCTCGAGATTCTTGCTGTAGTCCAATTCAACCTCGGCCCTTCTTCTGAAATAGTCCTGCAACTCGGCAACCAGCGACACCTGGGACTCCATCCGCGTGTCCAGGCATCGCAGTTGTTCTGCCAGCTGAAGTCTGATGTCTGTGAACAAAATGTCATGGATTGAGAAAAAAATTTTGAGCAGTTTTAGTTGGTTTTATGACTGAAAACTGGCGTCTGTGTGAAAGCAATATAAAAAAGGATGTGGTGATGAGGAAGAGGATTCGCTAAAGGAGGTTGAACGAGCAGCCTAGCTGCGCGCTGCAGGATATCGTTTAAAGCAGTCAGCGATTTATATGGTTTCTTCTGGTTCTTGGTAAAAGGAAATCTCGCAGCTTTTGTGAACCCAGATGCCAAAGTTTTACAAGAGCCTCTCCTGTTTCATTAAATGTATAATAAAACTTGATTTCCAGCTGCATCCGTATGTTTATTGCAGCGACACTTTATTATACAAGAGTTATACAGGACACACATAAAGCAAAATAACAAAAGATTTTCTCAAGTGCCATTAAATCAAAACTGAGCTACCTGAATATTTTGATGTGAATTTTTCTTGTGAGCTCAATCTTATCATACTACAAAGTTTTGCAATCGAGATTATCAAAATTTGACTTTTTTTCAGTATATCTTTTTGTGGTCGTGCATTGTAAAGAGCACGCGTGATATTGTAGGAATTGTTTTCAAGATTTCTATTTCAGAAGCAAGTAGAACCTGTTTGTAACAATGGTCATAATTTTATTCCATGTGTGCCGTTGGCTGCGAGCTAAAAGCCAATTGTGTGTTGCATTTTCCAGATGCCCACTGCTTTGTTTTGGCGCGGGCGTTTTGATCTGCGTTTGTTTTCTCACAGAGCTATTTAGGGTTTTTAAATTTGTCCAGCACTCGTTTTATTCTGGATTGATCCGAGCAACACAAATATATAAAGCGGCGATCTCGTTAACGTCGCGATTCACCGAAGCCACAGTTTACACTACTTTTGTTACTTTTAACATTCGTTCAAATGTTTATATGCAGTTTATGCGATGGCATTTAAAAATCTAGATTGATTGACAATGCCGAGCGAGTTGAAAATTCATTAAATTTGGAGAAAACCGCTGGCAATGAGATACCTGCACACGAGCGCGCGTGATGTTTTTATATGCACTTTCGTTTTCCAATCGTGGTCTGCTGACATTCTTTAAATTATGATGCTACCAAGAGCGGCAGAGTGTGTTTGGTTTTAATTAATCGCTTTGATGAGTTTCTCCTCTTAATGGATTGGAGTGAGGGATACAAAAAACATTATTCCTTATAAGAGAGCGATAAAAATACGTGAGCAAGCTTTTAAATTGTTCGTTGATTGTCAGTTTAAAAAATATTACATTTCAGCCTGGCATCAACGCGCGTCTTCATTTGATAAATATTACACAGCTAAAATAATTGATTGAAAGCTCGATTGCCGGCGGGGCGTCCCACACAAATTTGTTTAAGAATGAGGCACTAGGAGAACTTGGTGATTAATAACGTTGACTCGGTTTGGCGGTTCGCGGCGCGTTCAACTGCACGCACCAATTGTAATCTTTAGAACAAAGACAGGAAGTCGCATGCAAAAGAGGCGATTTTGCGTCTTCCCTGCGCCCAACGAGCAATATCGTAGTTTTGGCGCAAACAAATTAAGTAGTCACTATTGAAATTTTGATTCTGCTTTGCCGGACAAAATACTCTTTGAACTGCTTTTATTTGTGCAATAAAATAACAAGATCTTCTCTGCGCCTGGTTAAAAATTAAAAAGGAAAACGTGAATACTGAGTTTATTGGATCTGGTCTTGCCGTGGCGGAAGTTGCATTATTTGTATACTTTGGAGATGAAACTCTGTGTGAGAGCAAGGGCAGAGTCAGCGACGTTCTCATCATTTTGACTCCTTGTGTGGGTTATGAGCCCAAACAGGACAGTAAATATAAAATCGACGCCCATGGCAGGGGCGAACAATGCGACCGGGTTTATAAACAGTCGCGTTTCTTTCACGCATCATCTACAAATAATAACCTGAGTTTTATAAAGACTCGGCTGGCGCCTTGGAAATTGTACGCTAACGTTATTCAAAGCTCCGGAGATCAAGTGTGTGCGTAGTTTGTTATGAACCGACTTTTTTGAGACAAAATCGGCTCTTCCAGAGTAAGTACATTTTACACTCCAGTGGGGCCATGTGCCGCAGTGATGCACAATGTCAAGTCTCTGTTTAAATTTTTTAAATGATTTTTTTGTCGCGTGATCCAAGCCAAGTGGCTCGTGTCAATGACCAAGCAGAGTGTTCTCAGGCTATACTTACTTTAAACGAAATCACATGTCAAGCTTCCAAACGCAATAAGACATCATTTCATTGAATTTTTTGTATTAAAGTTAATTAATTCAAGAAGCAATATTATTTGAAAAAATTTAACTTTTTAAATTTAATTTTAAGTAAAATGTTACATTTCTTTGAAATTTAAATCTTTTGTGTTCACATTGTTTGCGAGTTGTTCTTTTGAGCTACCTCCTTTATTGGTTAAAATGAGTCCAGCTTGAAGGTCTACGCGTTTGTTCTCTTTGTTTTTTTTCAGTGAAAAGCCTCCGTATCTCGGTCACTCCGGGACCGGAAGCAAGGCCAACAGTTGAAGAAGAACAAAAAGCAGAAAGAAAGTCGCTTCTCACCGCATCGCTTTCTTTACTAATGAAGGAATGAATTGCTTCAAGTGGACACGAGTTTAGTGTGGAAGATAAAGGCAGGGGGAGACGCGCCCAGAGCACCTTGCTAATAATGGCATGCGAGATGAAAGGGTCGAGCTGTTGCTGCAGCTCTTCGCAGGCGCGTCCGTGAACTTTGGCCTTAATAAATCGCGGCTCATTGAGCATCATCAGTGGACAGGGCGCCGCACACAGGGAATCAAAGCAAGGTTGAGGGCCTCGCTTGTTTGCGTCTTGAAAGTCGAGTGAGCATTATCATAATAATGCACAACTAATGGCCATTCAGGTGAACCAGCAAGTGTATCGAATGCGACTTTTATTTCTTTGAATTTGGATTGAGGAAAGAGAAAACAACAAGAAGCGCTGATTTACTTTAAAGCCAGTCTTCCTGTCGCAGAGCCACAAATGGCTTTTCAATAATTGGAATTGGACGGAATAAATTAGAAAAGCAAAGAAGTAAGCAAGCTTTTTTCACATTAATTCGTAGAAATGCAAGACAAATTTTAATTTAATTATTTTTCTCAGTAAAATGTCGCCCTCGTTGTCGGCGTATAACGTCACTATTAAATTTGCTGACTTGAGTGAGGAGAAATGAAATCCGATCCTGGGCTTCTCTGATTCAGTTTCAAGCTGCGTGCCAAGACAATATTCCGTGCCATGCGAAATGCATGCCCTCCTTTGTACCCTACTCATTTTGCACTCCAGTCTGCAGGTAAAAAGTTTTTTGCTTTCCAGCGGAAAAAAATTATCTGAATCGAAGCGTTTTTTTAATTCTACAAAATTATAAAATTGTATTTTTTTTTACTCTTCCGTTTGTGAAACGTCCTGCCAGATTTTGCGGGATTGGATTGCAAAAACAGGTACGCACACCGGTCGCGCGATTTCAGCACTTCTATAGGGAGCAAGTCACGTACGTATAGAGCGAGGACAATTTTTATTCTGGAGGGACAGATCGTGACGGACACCTTATGCCTGCAGCGGGACCATGTTGAACATCAGCAGCCGCAAGCAGCAATTTAAGGAATAATAATTCATGTGCACCTGCACGAGAGCGCAAAACGCACGATCTGCCCACCAATTAGATTTTGCTTTCCATCCGTTCAATTTCATTGCGCATTACATTATAATGAGCTGAAAATTTTCCATTTCTAAATTGAAATTGAAGGTTTAAAAATGTAGCATGGGTGGCAAAAGTGCTCAAATTACATACCTTAAAATATTTTTATTGCTTAAAATTAACTTCAAAGTAAGAAACACCAAAAGTTACTGCGTTTCCAAATCTAAAATTTAAACACACACGCATCAGCTCCTTAGTATGGTGTTTGACTGTATAATGACTTAGGGTGTGCAGGTCCAAAAATAGGCCTACATCCTCCCCCACGTTGGTGCTCTCACCAGACAGACAGTTCTTTTGGTGTGCTCCACCCCGTACTGCAAGGAAGAGAGAGATGCGAGGTGCGATTACAAAGGAGCCTAAACTATCGCTGCATTAAGTCTTGCATTCCAATCAAGCCCAATAACTCTCAGTTGCATACGTCGGCTGCAATCTTCTGATTTAGACACTAACGGAGATAAATAAGATTTTGATCCCCCTATCTGTGGGGGAGGATGTGCCTGATTAGGATATTTAATCTTCTTTGTAGCTGGTCACGTGACTGGATCCAACCCACTGTGATATATAAATTGGAAAATGTGCAGCCGCGTGCTATTATTGTTAAACCAGCCACGCTTGCACTGCCATAAAGGGATTCCTGATTCAACCGACTCTGGGTACTGCGCTGGATGAAGTGATTTTTTTTAGCCTTTTATATTCCATTGTTATTATTGTTAGCTTTTACGATATTTTCTCTTAATATCATATTGTCGGAACTTCAATCTTCAAATTCGGATTAAGACATCATCCAACAAAAAAGTAAAATTTTAAATTTTCTGCTGTTTAATCATAAATAAAATAAACCTTGCAATAATTTCCTTGTTTTTTGAGCGGGAGATAAACAAGACTTATACAACTTTTATTGTTGGATGTCTCTTTATTTTCCCAAAAATGCCCCAAGGATAAAATTCCTGCTGATGTAATTACAACATCGCTGGAGCCAGGTTGCCGCGGCTTAATTGCAGCACCATCAGCGGCCATCACAATGCTTGGGATGTCAATTAAACAGTCAAAACGTCACTTCCTGACGGAGCTAGGCTGTCCAGCTATTTTATTTTGGTTCAATTGCTTGTCGGACCACACAAAAAAAAATAGATGGGCCAACACCCAAATTTGAAGTTAATATTTATTAATTTAAATTTCACATGCAGATTGCTGCAAATATTTAGCAAATAAAACACAAAACGGGTGGTGCTTAAATTAAAACAAACGAGTTTTGCAGTTAAGCAAGTAACGAGTTTAGTA